TTTAACCTCATTTTTTTCGTCGATAATAAACGCCAATAAAAAACTATAGATCTTTAGAATAAAATTTGTCAACTCTTGTAAAGCGGTTGCTTTCTCAAAGTCAAACACAACATTGTTCTTAGGACAACTACGCTCACACATCTCATCTAAGCTGTCTGTCGTTTGACCTTACAGGAAACTATTTATTGTCCGAGTCTCTATGCAAACACAAAAAACCGAGTCGACTGTGAAATCCGTCTCATCAATAGTCTGAAAACTGTTGTCGTTGATGTTTTTTTTCGCACTACATTGGCATTATAAAGGTACGTGTTCGCGTGCTCGCATGGAAAATCGTTTTTCCGACGTCGAGGGGAAAAAACAGTCGAGTCTCCAAACTCGTCATATCATATACCATCAGATATTTTGTTGTACCGGTAATGCAGGACTCACGATCGCAGCAGACCTCGACCTCGTGATACCGCTCGAGACTAGGACGACGGACGAGATCGTTCCGAAGGACATTTTATGCCTCTCGTGTACAATACGATACGGTATATTATTCTTGTGTGCACCTACATCTGGACCTCGGACTATGTTTTGTATTTTAATTCGTATTCGGTCGTCTGTGTGTATGTATCGCGAGCCTCGTCTGCATGTATATATATATATATAGGAAAAAAAACCCGAAAAATTCGAATTTCTGGTGCACGTCATTATACATAGCATATATATTACATGGTACACACATTATAAACATAATATAATACGACGCAATACGCATTCACACGCCGCTCTCGGGACGATATGATTGCCGGAAAAACCGGTTTTCGGGGAGGAAGGGGACTGTGTGTGTGTGTGTGTGTGTGTGTGTGTGTGCGTGTGTGTGTGTGTGTGAGGGGCACTTAACGAGAACCCATCCAAATCCGACGACCACACGGAACAAAAAGCATCATGCGGTACCGGGTTCACGGCCGCAAGCGCGCTCGCGCTGCAACTGCATCGGGCGCGTTACAGACACAACGTACTCGTATACCAGATGCCCATACCAGATCGGTACACATACTTCTGACACTGCACTCGTGTGTGTTTTTGTGCGTGTGCGTGTGTACCGTAGTGCACCCGCACGCGTATGAGACATATGCAGGACACTGCAGGCGCACATTCATATGTGTTGTATACACTATTACGAGTTATATTATGTAGGTATAATGACAGGCCAATGAAAGTTAAAAAAAAAAAAAACCGTGGTAAAAAAAATAATAATGATAATAATAAAAAGAACACGCCTATCCTGTGACTGCGGGTCGTATATAACGTTATACCTCGTCTGGCCGAGCCGACGACGATGACGATGACGACAATGATAATGTGGGTAAATACTAAACACGTCCATCTCCGGGGTATGTGTGTTTTAGCTCGTTTTTGCCACGAGCATAATAATGTATGTTATTGTGTGTTTGTGTTACAGGTCAAATTTGGAATTCTCACTCCTAGTAGTATATATTATTTTCGTTGGTTAACACTGTCTCACAAAATATGTACTCGAATACCTGTGAGTATATTTTATTGGCATTCAACATGCAAGCACATGTCATACGTGGATACAATTAATCTAATTTTATAAATGTATGTTTAATTTTCTAGAACAGTCGAAAAATTGGTTAAACAATAAATATTTCGTCAATTTCGATAAAAATGCTATGATGCACCTATACCAGGTTCAATAATGACAAACAGACGTGACTGTGCAGTGGGGTTTCTGAAATAAGTCTAGTCGACGTAAAGATGAAAAAAAATATTCTCTTGTGGCAATAGCGTAACAGACAGCGAAGTATAGATTTATAAAAATTTGGTAATAATTGGATATAAAACTTAGTTGGTTTGAAAAAACTTATAGATTTGTATAGCTACCTACTATCAAATTGTTTTTTTTAGTATGTCGCAGTGGTGAACAACTATAATGGTATAAAATAAATTTTTCTCGGAATTTATGGGTCATTTATAGCATCATTTATATGTAAACTTGAATCAGTACATTAATTTACAGTATCTTTGTATACTTCAATTAGAAGTTTAAATTTATTAAACATTTCTCGAATGATTTCCATTTTTTTCGTAGGTAAGACACAAAAGAAATAACCTTATGAAGACCTGTGTATTTAAAATCTTTAATTTAATTTAACCAAGATGTTAGGTAACCGAGGAAAGGATGAATATGAAAATTCTAGAACGTTCTGGATAAATTGTTAAATTATAATTTTGTCTATTTTGCCAAAGTATGTTTTGGCGAGATATTCTAATTATGTATTATAATTTTGACAAGGTACTTTAGCATTATGAAATGTTTTGATTTCGATTATACGTTAAACTTTTTGGTTTAATAAAGTACCAGTTGAGGATTGAAATAATTAAACGAATGATCGAAATTTTTACAAACAAAATCAAATACTTAGACTTTTCAACAACAACAAAACACGTAAACATCTTACCAAGCGTGACGGGTACAATTAAATCGAATACAGAACACTGCACCTGTTCTCGGAATGTTGATCAAATCGAATGCATTTTTGCACTCTGAGCATAAATCGAAAACGCATAACGCTCTAACATAATTATTAGTATATCATGTGTATAACAACTAACATGTTGCCATTTTTTAAATGACGATAAAAATTATTATTAAAAAACATTAGTGTTGTACTTTCGCATCAAGTTTTAAAAATCCATACAACAACACAGTCACTTATAATTCCGATTGCCTTCAATAGAAAAAAAAAAATAAAAAAAAAAAAAATAATAAACGTCACAAAACGATGGAATTTACAATAATTATCAACAGCTTATACTTTATAAAATTAACAAAACAAGTCGAAGGCGATCAGCGGGGGGCATAGAGGTGTACCTTTAATGCTCAACGGTGTATGTGTGTGTGTGTGTGTGTGTGTGTGTGTGTGTGTGTGTGTGTGAGTGTGTCATGCTGTGATCGACGGTCCGTCAGTCTGTCCGTTGATGGCTTTTGAGTAGCCCGATCCACTTTTGACCGATTGGCGAAGACGGTTTCAGTTCGCAATAATTCTACTTTAAAATGTCTGGTGGCCGTTTTACGTCTATATAGGTGGCCCCGCGATGTGTTGTGACTTGTGGGTACTCGAGACCGACAGAATGTTTACAGAGACTTTCGGCGAGGAACGATTGACTTCACATCGCTTACTCACATCGCCCGAAGGAACCGTGCAAATCGTGACAGCAATATTACAGATAATAAGGCATAGGGGGCATCGATAACAGTCGGGCTGGATAATATCATATTTTATAAGACTGCCACTCGAGTGTACCGAACGCGCGTTTCCGTAATGTGCGGGAGAGTAAATTGTTGTGTGTAAAAAAACAGGTCTTGTTCGTACCTCTATAGGCGTTTTTAAAAAACAAAACAAAATATCGCCGATGATACCGCACGCACACACACTACGGGTATACATGTCACGTGGGTGTGTGTGGGTGTGAGTGAGTGTGTAGCGCACTCGCTTCGTGTACGAGACCCGACGTTTCCTCATCATCGCCGACGACCGACAAAACCTACGATTAAATATCATTCGGGACCGTCTCTAGGCCAACGATGTGATATAATAATAGTTTATGTAATGACTACATCGTACGACGGCCAGTCGAAATTTCGCTCATAATATGTACCGCCGCATTCCGGGCCCAACGTCTGTGTACAAATACGTATTATTATTTTTGTTATCGTTATTAAATAACTATTTTTCGGCCTCTGCGGCGACCGAGTGAAAGTCATCGCGTACCATCGTACCCACAAAACATGACGACGTGCCTATTATGGTACACGGGCGTCTCGGATATCGTGAGGTTTTCCTACCGCAATAGCCGAATGCGGGTTAGAAAACGAAAAGTACAATTTTCACGTGCCCCGGTCGATCGCGCAGAAATCGTACAAAATAATATGTAATACTACTTATCTACCGACACCTTATTTTTTTTTTTTATATGTTCAAGCCACGCAGTTCGGGTCCACTTTGTTAGGGGTCGGTAAGACCGGCGCGCGCGTTTCCCGTCGCGACGGCGGGACCGACCCCTTTTCGTGAACCGACGACGCCGATCCAGGGGTTCTCATCGCAGTCGTCGCATTGCCATCGTACACACACACACACACACACACACAGTTGTCGGCGATTAATATATTGTTTGTGAGCCTGTGTCGGCAAGCAGATGTTGGAGCGTATAGGCGGCGATTTGATGATGGCATTTTTGGGAGGTTGGACTCAAATCTTCTTACACGAAATTATCGAATTAATACAGCATAATAAAGACAAATGATTATCGTCTGAATTTCGGAGATCTTATAGAATATAAATAGATTTTTTTTGGGGGGTGGGGGGAGGCTAAACATCAAGACGCTCCCCCATAAACCACCGGCTATGCCGGCGAAGACAATCCGCTCAAAAAATTCAAAAACATTATCAAAAACGAACGGTGAACGTTGTAGAACGTATCACCTCCACTTAATCCCCCCCCCTCCCATTCCTCTCCTACGTCGTATGCGCACACTGCAGTTCGAAAACTATACCGGAGACTCCTGCAGAAACCAAAACAATATACTGACCGGACGGAAAAACTAACCGTTTGAAAACGATAATAATAACAAGCGTAACGTCGTCGTCGGCGGTATTGTTGTTGTTGTTGTTGTTGTTGTTGGCAGTACTGGACGCGCGCGTGTACACGGAGGCCCTGTCGCGTCCCGCGACCGCGAAAGGGGGAGGATGGTATACGCGTACGCCGTACGGTAGTCGGCGGCGGCAGTATAGTAGCAGTATTATAGTAGCAGACAGCTGCGGTGATCGCGTCGCGTCAGTGTCGCTTCCGTCACGTATACCTCACCGCACTAAAATATTTTGAAAATCACTCGTCCGTTATCGCCAGGTTAGGTTCGTTAGGATCGTGTTCGTTGACGTCGTTTTCGTCGGCTCAGTCGTTTCCCGCCGGAAGTTCGCTCGCGGTTGGCATTCTCTGCGTGCCATGACAACAGCGGCCGGTGCACCGCCGCCACCGTAACCCGAGTCGTTTCCGCAGTCGCAATCGCATTCGTATTTTCATTCGTACACCCGCAGTCCGCGAGTCGTACTCGCAGTCGTATTCGTCGCATTCGCAGTCGTCTCAGTCGTCGCCCGCAACATGTTGAAGCTGTTGGGCGGGCTCAAGGAGTTCGTCAGACGGCAGCCGGTCACCATCGACGGCACCGTTTTCCGGGTGCACGTGACGTTCACCACGGTCGTGCTGCTGGCGTGCTCGATAATGGTGACGGCCACCCAGTACGTGGGCAACCCGATCCAGTGCATCGTGGACGGGCTTCCCACCAGGCCGGTGAACACGTACTGCTGGATCACGTCCACGTTCACCATGCCGGACGCGTTCCACCGGGAACAGGGCGTGGGCGCCGCGCACCCGGGCGTGGGACCCGAAAACGGCGAACCTCCCAAGTACTACACGTACTACCAGTGGGTGTGCTTCGCCCTGTTCTTCCAGGCCATGATGTGCTACTTCCCCAAGTGGGTGTGGGACATGCAGGAGGGCGCGCTCATGTCCACGCTGGTCATGGGCCTGCAGTTCGGGCTGGGCAAAGAGAAAGAGCGCGAAAAGCAGAAGAAGATACTTGTCCACTACATGCTCACCCACATCAGGGTGAGTACCTGCCATTCGCTGTGGCCGATTTCCGTTTTTGGCTGTACTTTGCGAACTCCATCGCGTATCGCTCGATTATATTATATTACACATTAACACTACCTTTGCGTAGTCCTCTGTTCGACTTTTACCACCCCGATATCGTTTCGGTGTGCCGAATACGTTTTCCTCGGCTGTTTTTCTGGCAGTCTGCAGGTCACTATTGTCTATTATAATATTATATTGTACAGTCGTGACTGTTCCGCGCTCGTTTAACGATCCCATCATAAATGAAATGGGTCGACGATGGTAACATTTGTAAGATCTACGAAAAATGAATATAGTACAAATTGTTACAAAACTATTTAAATATCTAGTAAAATACCATCTAAGTTTTTTGTCATAAGCAATAACTAATAACTATATCTAGCTATTGTGTATTTGTGTCGAATAAACACGTCATACGACCGCGCTAATAAACTTGTCGTGTTTACTTATAATGTGATCGATGTTTGTCCTGTGACACAATATAGAATACGTTTTTTTTTTTTTTGTAAAAGTAATATAATGTCTTGTTCTGTCGAAATAATAGAACGTATTGTTCCAATTGCGATCATAATTTATGTTATAACGGTTTATTTTTCCGAATCGTCGAAGTCGGTAGGAAATGTTTTACAGACGATTCGACAAGCCGTGGTACTGGAAAATGTCACGGGCCAAGACGTTTCTCGTCCGGCCGAAATACTACACAAAAAATTATACCTAAATATATATATATATATATAAATGGTGTATATATTTGTGCAGTTGGCAAACCTTATTGTTAACGTATTAAAATAACGAAAAGAAACCGTTTCGTTGTTTAGAGATTTCTTATTATTTACTATGTACATTCAGACATGTAGTCAAAATCATTATTTTTCAATCAGACGAAAGTCAAAACCAATACAATACACTGCAGCATTGCGTACAAGTTCAGCAAGTTCAGCAGTGGTCTATCCCAATTCCCAATACATTTTTGGTTTTGATTTCACGTCCTCTCTCTAATTGTACAGAAATAATGCATGTCTCCATAAAAATTTAAATTTACAATATTTATGTTATTTTACATAATATTGTACTCAGTTTTCATGTAAACAATATACTACGAAATATATATAGAACACATTAACCTCAATTTACCTATATACGTTTCAACTAAACAAAAAATTAATTAACTACAGAAAATTATTATAATACTAAGAAGACGCAAGTCTATTTAGAATTGATACTTACGTCATTTAATATTCAAATATTTGTAAATTAATAATTAGATAAACTTCACGAAAAATCCGAATTTTTATAAATTTATAAGAAATAAACTTTTTATAACAAAATATCATTAAAAATGTATAAAAACATAAACAGTGATACAATAATTTCAAAAATATAAGTATCATATTCAATTTTACACATTAGTATGAAACGCGAGATCCATATTTTTTGTAGAACAACATTAAAGAATAAAAAATAAAACTTGTAATTTTACACTAAAATATATGGTAAATAAGATATCGTATTAAGTATGGTAATGATACCTAATATTGACGTGATAAATTTGTGTACACAGAGCAGTTATGATATACATAGTAGTGATTCATTCGGTTTAGCGAGAATCATATGATTGTATGATTGTTCGTTATTCGTTAACCACATCGTTCGCCGTTTTCAATTTGGCAGTGTCAGAGATTTTGTTTTCCATTTGTTTGCAGCAATCATAGATTTCTCATTGAAACATTATAATATATTATTATTTGCAGGCATACCACGATGCGTGTTGTCGGGTTCAGCGGTTAGATGCTCAACTAAATCGATTTTTAACGATCACGTGACATGGCCACATCGGAATTGTTATGATATTTTCTAAGTGATTCGAGTCCTAAGTGTATGCATTTCTCAATGCGTATTCCTCAAAACCTCTAGACCCGCAGGCCGTTATTTAAATAATACCTTGTACCCGCAGTGTATTGTTGTTTGGATATTCGATCGTTAATGTTTAATTATTAACGCGTTGATCTACGAACTCTAACCTCAGCTGCTATGTTTTTTTTACCGATTCAATAATCATCGTAATTTACAGAACACATAACAAAAACATACCTCCGTCGACATTTCTTTGTTCCGTCTACCATTATTATAATGTAGAGCGTTGTAAATAAATACACTTTGTGGTATCGTGTCTTTCCGCAATGCATACATGCATATAGGTGGTGCTGCGTGGAAGTTATTCAAATATTATTCAAACCGTAAAAATATACATTATACAATATAACATATATATATATATATATATATAGAGAGAGAGAGAATAGGCATTTCGTATATTATGAACGCCTACGTAACGTTTAACGTAATAATTATGATGTATACCTATGTGTACCGGCAATTACCAACAGTATATCAACACGATAATTATACAGAAATCAAGAGCGCACAAACGCGTACGACACATATTACACGTTTTGTATACACACATCTCTGGCCATAGCCCATAAGTGTGGTTTGGACGTCGAAGAGATATCGTAGCACCTGTTGCTGTGTGTCGCGTATGATGTGTTCGGGTCGAGTGCAAGGACTATAATTATTATTTGACTCACTAATAATATATATGATCCGCAGCATAGGCATTCCCGTCGAAATCTAAGAGAACGCCGTACAAAATGCGTATCTCTCGCGTCCTCTAGTCTCGGAGTGTAAAAAGCGAGGCGAATAACGTATACCTGTTGTATTATTTATAATATACGACGCACCGGGAGAGCCTAAAAAATATATATTATACAGGTGGGTAGGTAGGCATAGGCGCCGGACAAGTCACTGCAGAAAGTTCGTAGTATAATATTAATATAACGCTAATTGTGAATTAGAGGAGGAAAAAAATTGCGATTTTCGTGTATACATTGTCCGGTCGAGTTCCGCGACGAGCGCGTGGGATTTCGACCAATTGTTCGTTTTCGGCGATTTGCATTCAACGCTCGCAGTTAATAATTATATAATATAATATAATACCTATGATACACGCGTTTCGAACACGATCTAAATCTAAATAGGCATTATAATACAAGTTGAAACGGTCGGACGCTTGTGTAGATTTGTTAGTCATGTCACACATACTCCTGCATCAGTTACCACTATACGAGTAGATTCGATTTTTTTTTTTCTGTAAGCACTAACGAGTCGTTAATTGTCATAGCGTTTGTTCCCCGTGAAAGGCGTGCGATCGAAAGACAATAGCGCCGCGACGTAACTGTTTTGCCGACAGTTTATAGTTACGACTGTATGTGCGATGATGTTTCCTTTACGATTTTTTAGTGATCTGGACACTATATACACCGCACGTTCGGTCTAGGCTTCGGTTGAAAACTGTATGCTCCGCTTGTATGTGCTGGCCTGTGTTGATACGCGGGAGATGTCGCGATGTTAAACTATTTGAAAGCATCATTAATTATAACATCATATAATATGTATTAATCAATCATCGAGTGGTCATTATTTTTTTTTCATCTCTTCGACTATAATATTATTATCTGTAGGCTTTTTTTTTGCGCTTTGGGGAAATACCCGCAAAAACCGATACAAAAACCTATAGCCAAACTCTGCGCGGATACTCGGGCAGGAATATTATATTAATATTATAAAAATATATAATGTATACATCATCTTAACGCCTGTAATCCACTTCGCTCAACTCTCGCTGTACACCTATCATGTATCATAATATTTCAAAGATCTATCTGGGGGGGGGGGGATTAACATGGGTTCCGGATCCTCAAAATGTCTTAAACATTATATAAATGTTTAAAATAATTTTACACTTTGACATCCATATTTTCAGTCATAAAATATGGTCATAATAAATCTTGTCTGTTTTAACCCAATATCAAATCTTGAGTTCAGTATTGTCTAAAATACATATTTTTGACCTCCTCCCCCAGCAAAAAAAAAAAAAATATATCGATACTGTTTGATTATGACTGATATATACCGTATACGACAGTATAGTTGGTAATAAATAGTGTTTATTATACGCTCTTAATTACTGTACAGTACTACAATGCGCGTATTATTCATATATGATATACCTGAGATACTGCAAGAGTGTAATAAATATACATTTTAAAATACATTAAGACATGATTTGAACGACCTAATAAGTGATATTAATATTCTATTGACTATTACTACAGATTGGTACTAAATTGCATTTAAGTCGTCATTGTAATGATGTCTGTTCGTTCAAGTCGTATAGGGATGGCCCCACTATACGCCTACACATATTGAATGAGACCTTTTATACTTATACATATATTTTTTTAAATTAAGTATTATAATTTATAATAACGCTTTATAATATTTAACGATAAATTAACAGTTTTGAATATCCTGTTGATGCGTCCATAAAAACATTGTCTATCGATAACCGTGAGGATAAAACAAATTTAAACGGTGTTTAAGCTGTATTAAATATCGATTGATTTCAGTATCTATGTTTTTATAGTAAAATCTGTTCAGATAACGAAAAGAGAAATCTGAACCCTAGTCGTGAGTTTTGAAAACGTTGAAAAATGTACTAAAATGAAGATTTTTTTCAGCAACACACCTGGTACGCCGTCAAGTATTGGATGTGCGAGTTCTTGTGCCTGGCCAACATTGTGCTGCAGGTGTACTGGATGAACAGATTTTTCGGCGGAGAGTTCATTACGTACGGCCTGCGCGTCATCGGCATGTCCACTGAACACCAGGACAACCGGGTGGACCCGATGGTCTTCATATTTCCCCGGGTGACCAAGTGCACTTTCCACAAGTTTGGACCCTCCGGAACGGTGCAAAAGCACGATTCGCTGTGCGTGTTGCCACTGAACATCGTTAACGAGAAGACGTACATATTCATATGGTTTTGGTATCTTCTACTGTTGGCGGCGCTGGTCCTAATGATCTGTCACAGGTACCTAATACCTATACAATCATAATGTTACACCAATCATGACAAAATAATATTGAATCGAAATTCCTATTGGTATCAATATAATATGCATAATGCGGTGTGGTTAATAGTCGTGGGTTGAAATAACTAAACGTCTAGGCGATGTTAAAATTTTGTAAATATTCTAAATATCATTCTCAAGCAGGAAGGTATATAGTTATTGTTTGGTAAATTATAATATAAATAAACCCAAATACAGTGAAACTTCCGTATAATGAACTTCCATTTTCTATTTAACGAATTATTTTTGAGAACCATGACCTTCATCTTTAATTACATGTAAATTTATCTCCAAATAACGAATCTGATGTTTCTATAAAACGAAATAATCATTCGATAAAAACTGGTTTTGTAAATGTTGTCACTGTCAAATTTTAAACATAGTTCTAAAATAGTACATGAACAATGTATCCGATAAAGATAAAACACCTGAGGTAGGCAAACTGATTAGTTTTATTGCAGTATTTTAAAACTTAATGATATAGAAACTTTTTACGAAAAAAGTACAATTTATAAAAATAATAAGCAAACAAAACTCACTAATTATTTCTTTTGAATAATAAAATTAAAAACTAAATTAAACTGTAATATTCTATTTGATGTCGTTTTTCACATAACATTTACAACTTAGGAGTATATACATACATACAATAAAATTTTTAAAAAAAAGTTGAAAAAAAAACGTAATTCTATTTAATTCCGCCATATTGTGAATTTTTTTTGCTGCTTATTCGACTTCGTTGTATGGAAGTTTCACTGTATTACGTGGTTAGCTACTAATATATATATTTTTTTTTTCGTTTTTTTTTACGTAAAAAAATAATAAGCGTAACAACTAAATCAAGATGTATGTTTCTTTATTAAAATATTTTATTCGAACATCATATACCATGGATTTGGTTCGTTAGAAAGTTAAAGCCGAAATAAGGTAGTTATTCGACTTAAGAATTAAAAAAATCCATCAACTTGACTCTGTTAACTTACTATGTTCATTAGTAATATGAAATGATATGACGTCGATACGTTTGACTATCATATTATCGTTGACAAGACTATAAATGACAAATACAGATAAAACTGTTGTAACTTATTGACTAGCAGTATATATGTTGTGAATTAACTATTGAGTGTACGAATGTACGATGGTATACTTAATTTGTTAACACTTATTCTCAGCTCAAGTGTACTCGATAATGTAATAAAAATATGGACGTCTGCACTTAAGAAATTACTAACACCATAGCATAGTTATCTGAAACTTATAATGCCATTCACTTATACGAAAGTACAAATATGTGCAATCAATGATTAAATATTTAACCGTTGATTATTTATTTATTTAAACTAAATCAATTACAATTAAATAATTGCAATAAATTACATAAATAATAGCTGATCCGTAAACCAGCTGAGCTAACGTATCTGGTATTGAGGATTCCATGGCTATTTTCATTTGTTTTACAGTAATATACTTAATATGAAAAATACAAAAATACGATTTAATAATTAATATAACACAGTAGATGGATATTTTAGAAAAAAAAAATAATAACTACATCGTTATTGTATTATTCTGGTTGAATATTTAACCCATTGGCACCGGGTTAACTGTATGGTTAGGTTTGGTTATGTTAGTTAAAAAAGTTATTATTTAAAAACCCCGATATTTGCATTGCGTTTTTATTGTGAAATTATTTTTGATCTGCTCAAGAATAAAAGATGTAAATTGTACATTATATCATTACGAATTTTAACTGTTCAATATCGTTTTAATATGTATCTAATATTTTTAAACACTATCGAGGTAGATATTTAAAAAAAAATACTAGCAAGCGACATTAACGAGCGTAGTCGTAAATTCGTAATTACATTACACTCAAGTACTTATCTTCAATATTATGTACCGTATACTTTTACCGTTTTTTTGAATTTTTATGTATTCTTCGCTATTTCCTTAATAATTATTAAAACAACCATTCAGTACAACTCTTACGAAATCCGTTTTAGATTTTCTCTTTAATATTCTCCTTTCGATTTCTAAACCAGCTATAGGATATATTGTATAAAAATGGCGGTATGCCTACTGCACATTACACACAGCTTCATAATTCATAATAATAATAATAATAATAATATCATATAGGTATACGCGATCGATCACCGGGCATATTGGCTGAGAATAACCAGCTCAGTGGACGCTGTAAGACTATAATAATTTAATAATAATAATAATATCACGATGTACATAAAAGCGGTTGGTAGGTATAAGAAATAGGTTTGGAAGAGTATTTTTTTTCGTTTAGATCTTGACCGTTTCTCACGCTCGCCCGCTTTAAAACCCGTCCCGCGGGGTTCGACGGCCGAAATGGAGCGCGTACATAAAAAACACCTCTGCAGACGTCGCGTAGTCTTTTTAATATTAGAGTATATAAAAGAATCTTAAAAATTATTACGATACATTCGTGACAATCCAGCCAGATAAATGGATGAAAACAAATATAGCCTCACTCCCCCCCCCCCCATCCAACCATAGATGTATTGTAATATTTTTTTTAAAAGATTACCAGAAATTCCCTCCCGATTTCAATAAAAAAAAATTCACTTGAATTGCCTCCTATTTTAGGTATTTTTTTTTCTTGCACATACCTACTGGAATGGCTTCCGATAGATTGGTTTACTTTCTAGTTCAAACTTCAAATCACAAATATTGATTTTTTTTTAATCAAAAACCATTAGGTAAATGACAGCTAATCCAGAAGGACACTAAATCATAGGAAAAATTAATAAATTAAATAAATTGAATAATAAATTAATGTCGATTGGTTAATACATTTATTGAATAACTTATCATAGTTTAATATTTTAATAAATACACCAACACACATTTTTGAACATTCGATATAATAATCTACAGTACACGTACATCTATCGATATAAGATCGAGTGACCGTTTGGGTGTACTCAAATTGCTTTCAAAATACACTTTTGATTGAATTTCGATTGAAAAAATGTCACCTGCCAAACCAGATTCGGGAGGCAATTCGATAGTGCCCCGAAATAGTAATAACGGTCTCGACTGCGATGGTTAAATAATAATTCGTTCGGTTTGGTTTTTTTTCTTCATTTTCTAGGGTGTTTGTGATGTGCAATGCGACCGCGAGGAAGAACGCTTTGCGGTACCGCCACTACAGGTTGATAACCGACGACGTCGCCAAAGCCGTGACGAACAAAGTGTCGGTGGGTGACTGGTGGGTGCTGTACATGCTGGGCAAAAATCTGGATCCGATCATTTACAGGGAAGTGGTGCGTGAAATCGCCAAAAAAGCCGACAACTGATGGCCACTTGAAGACTGCCACTCGGGTATTCGCGGACGACCCGTCATCGTCATCGTCGTCAACTCATCCGCGACCATCGGTGTTCAAATCCCCCCGTCATAATTATACTATTTTCGTACTCATTACACGATAATATTGTCGGGAGTCGACTAATTTATTTATTTTTTCGTTTTAAAGTTTAGTTTCAGCATAAAACCTGTTTTCCATTATTTTATCCACTACACGTACCGCCGCGTACTTTTACTTTTAATTTAATGTTAAGAATTTTTTTTCGTCGTTTATTGATAAAAAAAAAATAAGCCAGTTTATCGAAACACGCTTATGTCTATATATTATGATATATTGATACATATCAAAGTACAAACAGTAGTTGTATACTAATGCCACTAGGACAAGACTATTATAATATTACAATAATATATTTATATGATATAACCCAAACATGTTGTTTGGATTTTTTTCTATATTTTTTACACGATTGTATACTATTATTTATTATTGTATAACTTTATCCTATTCCTAATGTTTAACAATTTTTTGTGTTATTATTATTATTATTTTTTTTTGCATACTCGACGATAGGTACTAACGCGTGCACGAGCAAAATAATGTCACAGAAAGATCAAAATTATCATATAAAGTATTAAAGTATAGACTACCTATGACGTAGGTATACTATATTTATAGTACCTATATATTATTATATAAATAATAACTATGTAATTTTTTCATTTTTGTTAGTTTTACAATTTTTATATTTATTTTTTGTACGTTTAATGAAGTTCACTATTTATTTTATCTACCTACTATAAATTATACAATCATATTTAAGTAATATTATAATGTAATACCTATATATGATGTGTAATAGGTGAATAGGCATGTCCTATGTATACTATCACCTTTGGATGCATTGTATATTATTAATTATACATAATATATACTCACAGCGTGTAATAAACGTCACGAATTTTGTATTTGAAACTTTGATGTCGGATTTTTTCATTATAGAATTAATGATACGATAGCCCAAATGATGATCATCTCCATCTGATCTAGAAAAAATGATGAGCGTACGCACAGTAATTATGTGCATTTTAGGCTCGTCAATTTCAAATGTATAATTTAATGTCACAATACGTACACCTAAGTCGGTTTCATTTTTAAGAATATAAATTGCCTTTTGTAGAAGAACGAATCCAGATATACATGATGTTGTTATTGTGTTTGGGTAATTGCGTTTTTAGATAATATGTTGTTCCGCGGTCGTAAAATTAGATTTTTTTTATCCGAGCAGTGGTGTGGCTTCTACGCCTACGGGCATGTACGTTATTATTATTTCAGTTGGACGTTGAACCATATCGTATATTATACAAGTATAAAATATATTGTAAATACCTATCTTGTACTCCTGGTGCTAGCCACAGGCCACGAATGAGTCAGGTATTTACCAAATAGTTTTTATTTTAAAATAATAGTGTAGTTTGTTCTAATGCGTTGGATTTTTTAATCTCATGATTATTATTATATCACTCAAACAAAACGTATCTCGTGAATCTTGAATTGAACCGAATACGACGTAGGCGCTACAAAACGTAAAGTCAACCGAATTCGAGTGACGTGTGTGCTCCGAGGACAAAATCTGTGCCGTTTTGGTACAGTAAAAATTATGACAGTAAACAATCAGTTAACACAAATAATATATTTCACTTGGATATAAATATGCTTAGATGTATGACGTTGGACGAGTGTCATCAATATAATCACGATAATTGCCAGCCGTATAAATTATGATGTTATTTGGAGAAAAATATTGCTAAACATTTTGAGGGGATACAGCGATTATAAATAAAATATTATGATAATGTCGTTCTAAACATTTAACGCATTACAGTTATGCCAGTTGTATTGCCTAGTCGATGGTGAAACCATTTAAATCGACCAGACTAAAATATATTGTATTCTGTAAATCAGAAAATGTTTGCATAATATTATATTTTAGTATAATCAATGAGTTATTTACATTTCCTATGTGATTGAATCTGTTATTTGTAAATCAAATTAAAATACAAAACTATTGTAATTTATAATGCTTATATAATATTATACTTTGTACGGTTTAAAATGAATAGTCCCACTTGATGAATTTTGCAACTATTAAAATCATTATTTCATACACGGACGTCAAATTCGTAACTTTATTTTCACTGTAGAAACTCCAATTTTCTTCCTGGGATGCTGCGGTATCGTCACGCCAGAACCCCAATTCAAGGAAAATTCTGGGTCAGTCTTTATTTTGACCTTGTACACAGGCGATTCTATCATTTCTATCCTTAGCTCGGGCGATGATTGCGAACCCAACCACGGTGACCCGACAGTCGTGTTCCTATACCATGGACGGACAAACCTTGAGTGATGACCATCACTGTCCGTTCCTCGCCGGCATCGTCAAACGATGGCTTTTTGGCTGCGTGCGTAGCGTCCATCACCGGTGTCGCCTCAGACGATATTTTATATAAAATAAAAAAAAAACCAAGATAATATTGGTCAAAACATCGATAAGGTTTCTATTTATGGGATTTATATTTTTATTATGTCGTATATAAGCACTATTGAATTAGTATTTATTGATTTAGTGTGATAAATACTATTTACTATTGTTCCTATGCTGTATATACTACAGTATATATATAAAAATAATACTAAATATGATAAATATAACATAAATAACATGAACATATAATTACAAAATGTATAATAATATAAATAATATTAATATAATAATAATATATAATTTATATATAATATTATATATTATACTAGCTGCCCGAACACCTTCCGGAAGAAATTATTTTTTTATAATTTAATTTAAAAACATAAGACTATTTTTTGGCTATATAAATAATACAACGATTATAAAATAAAATAAAAAAAGAAGCAGACATCGTTATCGGTGAATATTTGAAAATAATTGATAATTAGTTAATTATTATTATTGTTATAATGAGGGTTGAAAACCGGTTTCTTTAGTCTCCAAAATCAAGTTAGATTCTTATATATATATATAGATAGATTATTATTATTATTTATTTATAGTTTATACGAAACTTTATTGTTGAAACCAAAATTACAAGTTTCATGAAACCGTGGTTGCGCAACTATGAGAAATTTTTGTTTCATGAAACTCAGTGTGCGTATCTATTTGCTTTTCAATTGAAAACTAAAGTTTCACATTTCATGAACCAAATTAGTTTCTTAAAACTAGTTTCTTCAGTGTGCAGCTCGCCTTATATATCAAAAGGCGAAGAAAGAAATAATAACAAACGGTTTTTTTTCCTTAACTGCAGCTTAGATGTGTCCCGGACAAACGCTAAACATATAGTGACGAATTATAATGCATGTAGTGCAATAGTTAAAAACTAGCAGTTTGTTTTTTTTTTTGGTTTATAGTGTGGCCAGTATAGTTAGATTGTAGCCAGCTAGTCAATGAGAAATATTATTACAATTAAATCATTTTTTACCAGTTATTTTAATAAAGAAGACCTACAAATGTTCTTAAATTGATACCTACAGGTTATCAGAATAATATCACATTGTGACATGATTTAGATTAATGAAGGGAAGATTTCAAATCGCCAAACTTTTTTACATAATTATAATGATTATTTCTAGTTTAGAAGCATATCTCTATATATAAAGTACTTTAGCAATAATCAATGCAGAGCCGAACCTATTTGAGTTACCGAATTGAAATTTTGAGGATAGATTAATATTATAATTTCAAGTTCCACTAGAAATGATTTTTCAAAATTTTGATTTAAAAGGTTGAAATTGATAAAAATAAATGTTTACGTATAAATTGTATATCTATATAGGTACATTCATAGCGACATGCAACCATACATCTTTGTCCGTCTAATTATGTGTTTAATTGGTGCGTAGATATGAATTGTTCCAAGAAGTAAAATTCTACAATCTATCTATATCTATCCATATATAAAAAATAAAATATATTTCCCTTAGTTGAAGCATCACGTTTATCACTTATCGTTAAAAACAGATCCATCTATGATATAAAATATTTAACTTATAATTTCTTAGTGTACATTTCACAGTCGAATCAATCGGAAAATTAATGAAAAATTTTACAGTGAGTTTTTTGATAAGTGTTAGTTCATCATGGTTAATTTAAGCAATCGAGCTTAAAATTTGAAACAAACTTAAGTCACATAACCCGCAATGCTACCAGTCAAAGATATACAAGAGCAAGTCAAACATACAATTGGATAGACAGAAAGGTAAAGTTGCAATTACTCGGTGTACAAACAGTAAAAATTAATATTATTCCACACCTACTCGAACATCAGGTTATATTATTGATCTTAACTGATTTCTTTTTGTGATATTCTATGAAAATATGAAATAAATGATAGGTAACTAATAATTTAAAAATCATTACTGCACCCATATTAGTAGGTGAATTGACGGTAATTGTAGTTACCTAAAGGCTAAAATCTCCCATATTGTAAATTTACCAGTTTATCGTATGGCATACTTTTTTTTGTTAAGACACTTAGCACAATAAGTTCAATGCTCATTCAGAACATTTATCGATATCAAATAATCATAAATGAACATGTTGAGTTCCACTTTTACGAAAATCCTTGTTAAAAAGTTAAAAAAAAAATTAAACTTATATCGTTTTAAAATACCGTTATTAATCGTTTAACGGTTTTATTAACATTTACAATAATATGCTTTAAAATTTAAAGTTTTTTGACAACTATACTTGGAGGTTGTGGATGTAAAATGGCCGATCGACGAAAATAATAACTAATATGATATTATAGACTTAAAACGTGCAATCTACGCATGTTATATAATGGCGAACATTATATTATATCCGATTTGACCACCGACTCGATATTGAAGGTGTCAGTCTAGCCACCAACAAAATATTTCGCCTAACCTAACCGATTCGCAGAGCAAACGTTACGGTTCCGTACCAAACGTTGCGGTGCAGATGTCTTCCGGTGTCGAGATCCGGTCGCTATCCACCGCCTCGAGGTTTCGAAAGCAGCTAAAAAAGGCCCATCCAAAGCGGACGTGCTGGCAAGGCGGGCTCCTGGGTCCGCTAAAGAGACGTTCCATTCTAATGCAAGATACTTCATTGCAGTTTAGTACATAGAAGGAAGAGTCCCCAGATGCAGGTTCCGATCGAGTTTGTAATTTCGACAAAATTGAATATTTAAACGTAAGATAACGATTTTTTTATTCTGTTATAATTCAAACAATTATATTTATAGGGACTTGACATTTTTTGTATCAAACTGTTAAACTGCGTATTTACTTTATTTATTTACAACACACAATGACATTTTTCAAAATATTTTGTTTCATTTTACACTAGGGATTTGCAATTTATACCACTAACCTAATAGTAATAAAGGGTATGTTTTGACTATTGTCAAAATTTACCATACAATAAAATAAATGTAATTTTTTCTACAAAAATAATTCAACCCAACGTATTACTAAAATTATTGTAAAATATATAACTGTAAAGACAATATAAATTTATCATAAAATATACTTAGTAATATAGGCCGTCAGTTTCTCCTCAGAACCGTTTTATCTTTAAATTTAAATGTATCACAACCATTACAATAGTTACTCATTGAAATGGAACACTCAAAACTAACACAATATGCAAAGTTTTTTATTTTATCTGTTCATAGAAATAATCTGTTCGTAATTAGTATTGATAACAAGTTACTGGCGTTATGTAAATCCAAACTAATATCATATAGATTATAAACTAACCTAATATTCCACTGTCTTAGTGTGGTTACCTAATGCAAACAATAGTTACGATAATATTTTTGGTTTTACGAAAGTATTATTACAATCATCTGTTGCTTCTGTGTGTTGTGAACAGTGATCGAAATATAAGCGAAATTCATTGTAATTCGTATGGCTTTAAATTATACTCACCGTAGTGGTACAGTAAAATTGTTCGTTTGTAGGCTATAGCTGGAGCAAGCGGTATAACGCGATGGTCGATGAAATTAAAATTGGCTGCGAATATGAATCAATAAAATATGGTCCAAGGGCGGCGCTGGCACAAGTAAGTTATTTTTTGCAAAACATATTTTATATTCAGTTAAAACGTTGAAATCATAAATTTTAGTTTTTGGCAACTATTGCACAGAGTTTTCTGTCAGTCGGATTGGGTATTCAACTAGCAGTACCGGCAATCGTCATCCGTCACTTGTACAAAAATAGTATTATTGATAGTGATTTCTCGATATCACTAACTGAGGCGTCTTGGTACGGTAAGTAAATATTAGTGTCATTTTCGTTGTTGAAACTTTGAAACTTAAACTCATGTTTTCGTAACTTTTTATGGATGTAAGCGGTATGACTTTATAATATGTTATGTGCATATGTCACCGTCAAACGCTTTGGAACGCCTATTTAATAAACTGCTTTCTGCAATAGATCATTTCGGAACAAAACATTATCAGAACTATAAAAATAAAACTATTAATTGAAATAAATATTTTTTACGGTCCCAGTGTTATGATACAGGTATAAAAATAAAGTATACAAAAACTTGTTTTACATTATCGATTATAATACTATTCTATTGACTAATAAACAACAACGAATGAAGTTTGGTCTTTGTATTTACAACCGCAGGGAGTGTATTATTTATAATCCACCCATTTGGATGTTTCCTGTCGGGAGTCCTTCAAGAGAGATTCGGAAAGAAGCTTTGCATGATATTTGCAAACGTGCCCAGCATTGTCGGGTGGACTTTGCTGTACTTTGCTCACTCGCCTCTTTTTCTCTACGGGTCGTCGCTTCTGATGGGATTCAGTATAGGCGTCGGCGCTGGTGCAGTACACGCCTAAGTCGGCGAAATAACAGAACCAAGACTCAGAGGATCCATGGCTTCCATATCGAACACAGCAGCTTTGTTTGGATCATTGTTGGGATTCATATTGGGTGCATTGTTCGACTGGCGTACCGTTGCACTGTTGAGCACGCTTTGTCCTGTAATATGTATATTGTTAATCTTTTTAGTGAGTGATATGTTAAAATATTTATTATTTAACAGATCTTAGCTAAAGTTTAGATATTTATTTATGGTGTTTTTTGCATACCGTCTGTTTAGATTCCAGAGTCTCCCATTTGGTTGATCGCCAAAGGTAAAAACGATAAGGCCGAAAAGGCCATGTGTTGGTTAAGAGGATGGGTGGACCCTGAAATAGTTAAACCCGAATTAATTACACTGTTCCATTATAACGAAGTTTCTGGAACTTTTGGAACTGAAGGTAGCAATTCCAACGCAAATGGTGATAATAGTTTGCTGTCGAAATTAGCCCTATTCAAGGAACCATCGGTTTATAAACCGTTAAAATTAATAATGATTTACTTTCTCACGTCTTATGCAATTAACCTTACTCCTGGAAAACCGTTCATTGGTAAAATAATGACAGAAGTCGGTGTGAAGGATTACCAAAGTATATATTTGGTACAAACACTGCAGTGATATAAACAATAACAGTAGTTGCATATTTTGGATAAATCATTAAGAGAAATTCGTTTTTAGATTATTTTTTCCGTCCTGCAAACGATTGGGAGTTTGATATTGATCTTAACTATTCGTCGTTTCCGGAAAAGATTTTTGACATTAGTAACGGTATCGATAAACTCTGCATTGTTACTATTATTTAGCGTATACATCGTGGCCATGAAAAACAATTATATTGAATCGACGCAATGGATTCCTTGTTCAATAATCGGTGGTATTTACCTATCTGGGGGTTGTGGTGCAGCATGCATACCCTGGATGTTAATTGGTGAAGTGTTTCCGAACAAGTAAATATGATGTAATACATTAATATTTAATATATTATTTTTTGTTTTGCAAGTATGACGTATGTGATGTATATTTTGCATACTAAATTGCGATTAACTAAATACGTTGTCGATAAAACCCTTTAAAGTTTTTTTAATACAATATTATAAGCTGTTGTAAAATATATGGTATATTATTTTAATTTTTTTACTTATCAACTCTACAAATTTATTTTTGTATAAATATTAAATATTATGATTATGGTATATAATTTTGAATTTCAATATTGTGCACAGAAAAGTATTTCTTAACATTTCCTGGAAGAGGAGGGGGTGTCCCCAAATTCTTACAATTAAATTATTATAGTAAAATATTATTGATGAAATTATGTATACTATTTTGTAACAATATTAACAATTTAATGGTTGATAATTTAATTGTTGTATTATAGAACATGAATTAATTATTGTACAATACATAACATTTCCAAATGGTAGCGGGATAAAATCCTTTAGAAACTCTAAATCCGTACCGTTTGCCTATATTATTTTATACGAATTGTGGATATTATGTTTATTGGTTTATTGTATTCTGTATAACAATTTTAATTTATCTACATAATATCTCAATTTGTATCTCTGTATGTATCTTTACTCTTAAGTAGTTCTTTTGTTTTCTTCAAGGGGAAGGGGTTCAGTCCCAAAGTATAACACTGATTTAATATGTATTTTATTTTATCCAGCATCGTGGAACTATTTGTTGTTTGGTATCTTTTATTGTTTTATTATTTTTTTTCCCAAACTCTAATTTAATATAGGATATTTTACCATATTTTTTTTCAAAACAAAAATATATTTTTTAAACTTTTTTATTTTTGAAGTTCTAAAGTTTGTAATAACTTTAAAACTAAATTGAATAGTTAATATTTTTCGGAACATATTGTTTGTAAGCAAATATATATTATTGTACTACTATATGCACATCGTAGGTACAATTGAATGATGTGTTTTGTGCAAAATTTAAAATTTCATTCAACATTTTTCATTTTTTCTTATTTGTTATACTATTGAAAATTTTTCAATTTATATTTTATTATTACAGAAGTCGAGGAATTGCCACTGGCGTATGTGCAGGGATGTCATATTTGCTTTTGTTCTTATTAACAAAATCGTACCTGACAGTTGAAATGATTTTAAGTATTGAGTACACAATGCTTCTTTTTGGTTGTATTGGTATTTTTGGATTAGTATATTTTTATTATTATTTGCCAGAAACAGAAAATAAAACATTATTAGAAATTGAAGAATTTTTCGCATCCAGTTCAAAAGATCGAAAATAGATAAAAATATTTTAGTATTTCATTAAATTAATGAATTTTCAATTTTGCATTTTTTTTATGCAAAAAAAAATTGTATCAAGATTTTTTTCATAGTCTTTGAGGTTGAACTAATCTATTGTTTGATACTTTAAATAAGTCTTATCACGAATGTTTAAAAATAATAACTTAACATTACTTTTAATTTAACATGGAGAATCTCAGTGAAAAATAAAATCGTTAGTTTTTTAAGCAATCTCACTAATATTTTGTTATTTTGTGACGTATATTATACAATGAAGAAGTTCAAATTATTATCATATAATTTGTAAAAATAAAAGTTTTATATCAACTTCAAATATATTTGTATTTTGTTTATATGTTATAATAGAGAACATAAAAGTTATTACACATCCTTATAGTGGTCGTCGCAGTGTAATTGTGTCTCAGAAATAATATTTGTAATAGGCGATTTTAGTCTAGGATTACTCAAAAAACATAAAAGATGATTTAAGGTGAAAGCGTTTTATCTGTGCTGCGGCGTTGCTCGTTGGTTTGAGAGAGAAACAGGTATTGCGCTGACATAGTGACATCCTTATAACGGTAAGCGTATAAATATTACTTTGCATAAGATAAGGACGTGAAACTCATCGGATTAACTGTTTAAGGTGGGCTGTTAAATAAAACATTATATGTATAGACATTTTATTTGATCACAATTATTAGAAAATTGAAACACTGGAAATTGTTATAGGTTTTCCTTACTCGTGAGTTATTATCATGATTCATGATATAGTACAGTGTACTATTTTAAGAATAGTAAAATAGAATTATATCGACACATCGATTTAAGCTTTAAAGTATCATTATTATTTATTTACGAATTATGTCGCCCAGAGCAGGCACTCTTTTTTTTGTATTGTACACGTTATTGTACAGTTATACACAGTGTCAAAGTGGCTAAAGTTTCTAATTTATCATATGTAAGTATTAGAATGGTATGTAATCATAGAGTACCTTCGCAATATCATGTTCCTTATATAATAATAATCTTATAACTAATATTATATTTATGGTTTTTTTTATATTTTTACCTTAGTTAGTGATACCTATATTTTCTAATGTTTAGGCAGTACTCGGTAACCAATTTTTATTTTTTATTTTTCCGAAATTAAATGTTTCAGAATATTGCATTAATTTGATTTGTGGATTATGATATAATGATATAATGGTATAATTATATTAACATATTATAAGTCAAGTTTTACGACGCAAGTAAAATAACTGTTGATAAAATCCTAAAAGATAAAATAATATCTTCTTAGTTCTTACTTCTGATAGTTACCATTAATATGAGATGTATAATTTATTGAGCTTCTAGAAAAGTTGAAACGTTTTCTCCACGTTCATTGTCAGCTATTCTAAAAATAATATAACCGTATTTTGTATCACCAGTATGTACCTGACACAAACTTCATTCATAATCTCAATTCTGTAATGAAAATAATATGAAATAAACTATACGGAGAAAAAAGAGCTTATCACAACTGGAGCTTTTTAAAACATAATCTAATATATTTTGCAAATTTGGAAAAGTGATACTTGCATTACGTTTTAATATGAAAACAATATTTTTAAAAATGTTTTTTTTAATTGATTTATAAACTCGGTAACTATGTCCATTAGTTACAATTTAAATTGGGTTACAGTATTTACAGTTATTACAAAAAAAATTTTTATAGATAGTACAACATTAACAGTTTTAGTATGTTTGCATTATATATAAAACTAATTATTATGTATTATTATGAGATTAAATTGTCAAGGCCTGTTGATTTTAAAAATTGTGTCATCACTAAGATCTTGAGATTAGAACACTAAGTTCTCTTCGGTTTTGGGTCCCAGTGCAACTCCAATTTTCATATCTAACCCGATGATTTGTTGATCTTGTTCATATTTGAGGCATTGGGTTATATGTTTCACTGTAAATTAGACACCACAGACATCGCATGAGGGGGGGGGGGGGTTCTTCCTTTGTCATTGGGTACCCTCGCATAAGTCACGTATGACCAAATCTTCTTTTCTTATTAAATAAAGCAATATTTTATAATACAATGCAAAAATGTTTGCATAAATATAAATACCTGTACACATTATGCACTCCTACTTAAGCGTTTAATCGCATCCAAATTGATTTAAAATTTAAATAGCGAAAACAATAATAATTGTGATAGGCGAGAAAATTACACTCGTGCAACTATTATATCGTTAAGTACCTACCTACATATTTATGTCGATTAAAAGTATTTAATCTTATTATCGTGGTTCGCCACGCTGATACACTTAAAATTTTGTTTCACTGTTCAAATCTAAGATGTGACTGAGTATTGTATCCAATACAATAACAAAAATAATTTCATAGTAATGGACCCAAAATAGGTACTGGCTGATATCTTATCCAGTATAAGATGTTAACTATATAATGTCAGTATTGTATCTTTGTTCGTGTGCAGCGATATGAGTAAATAAGAACATAATTTTTGAAAAAAGTGCGTCGAGGCATAGCAGTGAGCGGATAATATTATTAATTGCGTTCAGTTTTGTCCTGTGGACATTTATAACTTCGACGTTTACTGAGTACATATAGTTAACATGGAATTATTATTTTATATTTTCGGCAAAAAATACGTGTCTATAACTTCAAGAATAGTGTCATGCTGTAAAATCCACTGACCTCCCGCACTTTTGGACGTTATTTGATTTATTTTTATTCGTAAAGAGTAAAGACCCTCGGCCATGTGGGCCATTGAGTTAACTGTTAAGACGTTATGTACGCTACTTCTCGAGGAGCACCTTTGCTCAAAGTGGTTAGCTTTCAAGTCAGTCGCCCCGAGTCTTAATAATTCAATTATTATTTAATACTCCTTCGAACAAATTGTCCTGTAAACAAAATAAAAATAATGAAATTCAATTATAGGTTCTGAATTCTGATATATAAAAAAAATTGTTTTCACAAATTCCTATAAACGAATTTTGCTGGGCCACAAGACTCGAACAATTTAATACACGATTCCTCATAAATTGTTATTAAAGTATAAAACAATATTAAAGACACCTATTTTTTTTTCCTAAGCATTTCGAGTTTTCACGAAAAATTGAAAATAATTTTAAGAGGACGCCACACCCGCATGTGTTGTCTCCGTCTAACAAATGTACAACATAGCAAAAACTGTTTTGACAACTTTTCTCGCACCATATTTGTAGTAGAATTACCAAATTTTCACAACACGTAAAGAAGAACTTTATCTGTGCAACAGCGTGCTTTTTTTTTAAATTACACTATCCAATCGTTTTTTATAAGCAAATGAAAAAAACAAAATGTTTAGAAGCAAATAACTTTTTATTGTATTCATGTTATATACAATTTGGGCGGGTTGTTGCATAGATAATTTTCTACTCTGTATGTTCAGAAATTTTGGAGCCACTACTACAAACATAGAAAGATAAAAAATTGTCCCGCTCAAAACAGTTTTTTCTATGTTGTACATTTGTAAGACGGAGACAACGCATGCGGGCGTGGAGTCCTCTTAACATTTTTTTAAATTATCAATCTGTATAGTTAAGGCTTGAATAAACACTCTCTCAAGTCCTAAATACGGTACAGAGCACTGGACCAACTAGAGAATGAGAATAATATAGACATTATGAGCTCTGAGACAGTACATAAGTACATGACTTACCTTATATAAGAATTATTGTTTAACGTGTGGTATGCGGGTGTCGGTATAGTATGATTAAAATTAATTGAATTGTAATTATTATTATTTGAATTGTTTACATTTAAAAATGATGTGACAAGTTCCTCGTTGTCTAGTTATTAAAATAATTATTCAGATTACAATATTAAACAGATTCGAATTATCGGATTAATAGTTTAATTACACTTAATTACTGTCCTCGTGAATAATTAAAAATACATTCAATAATCTGTAAACATTATATAATAACAATGTGTTGTACGATGTTTTGTGTTTAGCGGTTATCTGTTCAACGATAATAATGATTAGCTAGTACAAAATGTCAGCAGTCGATATCAATGTGTTACTATTTGTAGCGAAATAACATACAGTTTGCTGTAATCACGGCTGGTAGGTAGGTACTTCAACATAATATTAATATGCCGTGGTGTTATGATAACAGTAGGAGGTGTTAGCTAAAAACTTTATACACTGTTCACGATTCAAAATGACATATCTTGTCGTTAATCAATAAAAAAAATCTCATCAGTTATATCATATTTTGTTGATATATCATTATACCTATCGATGACCGACGCGAAAGAAATCGAAGCACAAGACTCCGCACGAAGATATGGCCCGAAAGCGACGTTGGCACAAGTAAGTGTTTAATTTGAGGTAAAAAGAAAAACGTTTTTAATCGAAATGTCTTGCCCGCTGTATTAAAAAATAGTGTTTGGCGACAATAGCGCAGAGTTTTCTGTTCATCGGATTGGGCATGAATCTATCGATATCTGCAATAGTCATTCGAGACTTGTATCGAAATCCGAATAGTGAATTCTCAATAACGACCACCGAGGCCTCGTGGTACGGTAAGTGAATTTAACATTAATCTCAAATATAATTTTCGACGGGGTTAATAACACATATATCGAACAGTTTGAATCTTGACTTTTCGCCATTCAAGCGTTGATTAAAATTGTTGTTGTCGACAATTTCTCGGACATAATAAGTTCAAGGGTGTTGAAAACAGAAAAGGTTAACGGTTTTTCAACATAATTATGTTTGATTTAATAATATTTTCGAGACTATTAAATATTTCTTAACGATTATTAATCTGATACTGGGTACATAATATATGTAATGCACCGAACTTTCTGACCATATATTACTTACATAATCATAATATATTGTTTTAAATTTAACCTGTGTGATAATAATATAAGCTGTACGTTATAACATCTCAGGTTTAAACCTTGCAAAAACGGATAAGACAATTCACTTAGTCAGGCTTATGATGTGCTGTTTTTCAAACTTTGAAATATGAACGGGACACACACAGAACATAATATTGTGCAGTTGATTACAGCTGCAGTGATGAAATATTCAATGTATATTACCTATATGAGAAATGAATACAGTTCGGACGAGTATCAGCTGATTAGTATTTCGTGATTAAAAAAAAAAAAAAAAACAATAACTCGTAAATATTTTTAACAACATCACGAAGTACAAAATATACCTAAAAACTGCCGAGTATATACAGGATGTCCCTCGGGGATTTACCCATTGCGAGATCTCCTGAGATAATATGATGATCGGTTTTTTTTTTTCAATTACACTCGCGGTGACAAGCACTACGTGCATATTATTATTTAGTTTAATTACATTTTTTTGGTAAAAAAGTTTAAAATGTATTTTTTCATTTTTGAAACAATCGAAGACATCCATTTTGTAGAGATTTTTTTTTCCTGAACATTTTGACCGTCCAGCATTTGACTTCCATCAATTTTATGATTTTCGATCAGTTTTTTACTTTGTAGGCGCAACGGCAAAACTCCGGATTCGTCCGGGCGGCGAGTCCCCCTCCACGGCTAATGTGTATATCTTCACTGGACACACCGTATATATTATAATTCATTATTAACGTAATGAGTAGGCATAATACCGGGCACGATTATTTCGTTAAAGTACACAAGAACTAGTACAACAACACTATATCGCAATGATTTTGAGAGGTGCGATACGGCGATCATCTGCACGTCAATAATATCTATTTATATAATTTTATTATTTTCGTGTTCGCGACTTTACAAGAATATTGTCTATTTATTATTTATGAAATAACTTAACGCCCGGAGGGGGCAATAGTACAGTTATAGTATGGTATTCAATATTTAAATATATATGCATATTATACATCCAATATTCAAAGTTAGCATTAAGTGCATATCATTAATTTGTATCATTAATATAATAATGCGCTTGTGGCACAATATCTTAATTTCGTCTTACTATCTGTAAAAAAAAAAAAATGAAATCATATTTTACTGTCACTCCACTTCTAAAATAACTAGGTGACCGGTTAAATTGAGTTCACGTCCTACGATACTACAATGTTTTTCAATGTTATCTATTCGTCTAATGTTACCCAACGGATTAGGATTTAAAATGGCCGATCAAAATTCAAGCTCAGAACGAACCAGCGCAACGGTTTTAAGCAATCGTAGCAATCTCGGTTACGTTTGATTGCGAAAACCATATGCAATATTTAATCGTTTCATTTGACAATTAATAACGTTTAAGTGTTTTTTTAAATAACAAAATAGACTATCAAATAAAATATGGTGGCAAGCGAGATGTGACTGCGGTGTACTCTGTGGGTTTGTCCGTTGTCTCTACTTTTGTCGGCCGAAAGTGACGTTGCTCTAGTGGCTCTCCTGCGCCGATCGTCCTTGTCCCTGCTAAAAACCGTATTTATTCATACGTGGTCATAGAAGAGCTTCCTTCGCCTGCTGGATCGCGGCACGTGGCTGCCCACATGCAGTACCACCTATATAATATGATTTATATTGAGCCATTGGTTTACAATGTTTACGCATAACACACAATTTCTGCGTGACCTACTTTATCTATTATTCATGTATAGTTTATTATTTCAAGCGTTCGAGTATAATTACTGTGGTGGGATGAAGGTACATTGTTTTATACTTCTACACATTAATCAAATTGTTAGTATGTTGGCTGTAATAAAATGTTGGTGATTAGTCCAAGGTAGAGTTGGAACTATTCGCGGATCGGGATTGATAGTGATTTAGAAAGCTGATTTATTTAATATTTATATATAATATGCACATTATACATACAACGTCACAGCCGGTCAGACATGTGTACGCGATTAAATCCTTCTCAGCTCCTTTGAAAAACACTAAATTGGCTAAGTTTCTGTAGGGTTGTGTGCAAATGGTATTTACATGCGCATCAAAAATTAGGTCTGATGACGTTAAAATACCCAAATCTTTATAACGACTCCGACCACATTTAATTTAACGTTATGTGTTCGCACTTATCGGCGGATTGCCGTGGAAAGAAAAACGATTGCATTTGTCGATGTTCTAATGTTTACAACGTTTACTCATAAGCCATTTCGAGCAGCCCGAGTTCAACAAAACCGATTCAGGTCACATTGGAGGTGTTCTTGTATTATACGGCGATCGCCTGCACGCCCGCAGTGTCCGTCTATAACGTTATAATATCATTATTTTCGTATTCGCAACTTTACAGGAAGCTTACTGTTCATAATCCACCCTGTCGGATGTTTTCTGTCGGGAATCGTGCAAGACAAGTTCGGAAAGAAACGCTGCATGATACTCGCAAACGTTCCCAGTATATTCGGATGGGTGCTGCTGTACTCCGCACACTCGTCGGTGTTGCTGTGCGCTTCGACCTTACTGATGGGCTTCAGCACTGGATTCGGAGCCGGGTCCACCTCGTCGTATGTGGGCGAGATATCGGAACCCAGGCTCAGAGGATCTCTGGGTTCGCTGGGAAGCACGGCGATGAGGATTGGGACGTTACTGATGTACATCCTGGGCCTGTTTTTCGACTGGAGGACCGTGGCACTGTTCAGCACGTTCTGCCCAATCATTTGCATATGCTTCGTCCTTTTCGTAAGTGATTTTGCCATTTTATATGGTATTTTATTAGTCGTGACATTCGTCGAGTGCTCATTGTCAATGCGCACGTTGTATTAAGTACCGAATAATATATGCGCTGTGTAAATTGAAGTACGGTTTTTGTTTTGTTGCCGTGTCTAGATCCCGGAGTCACCCATTTGGTTGATCGCCAAAGGCCGAAACGACAAGGCCAAAAAGGCCATGTGTTGGTTGAGGGGGTGGGTGGAACCTGAACAAATTAAACCAGAATTTCTCGAACTGGTTCATTATAACGAAGTATCTGGCACACAAGGCGGAAAAATCAACATCGACGATAAGAGGTTTTTTTCGAATTTAGCCCAGTTCAAAAACCCGGCTGTATACAGACCACTGAGATTGATGCTGATTATTTTCTTCGTATCTTTCGTAGTCAGCATTTTCCCAACCAGACCATTTATCACCAAAATAATGAAAGAAATTGGTTTATTCGATAACCAAAACGAATCGTTGGTATGAACTTATAAAACCGTCGTTTTCGTTATGCCGATAATATTATCTATATTACACTGTAATCGATGACACTTGATTATCATTTTAGGTCCTCCTGACAGGCCTGACGAGTATCGGGTGCATCATAGCGACTGCAACTGTTCATCGAACCGGGAAAAGATTATTGACCATATTGACGTTATCGATAAACACTGTTTTATTGTTATCGTTTGGTGCATACATTATTTCAGTCAAGGCAGAATATTTTTCATCGTCTCCCTTGATTTCCTTAACATTTCTGTGCAGCATTTACTTTTTTGGCTCATGCGGAATTTCATGCATTCCGTGGATGATACTAATCGAAGTTTTTCCCAACAAGTAAAATATTTATATTTTTTATTTAATATATTTTAAATTGAGCCTTTCTCAGAATGCGCAGTTTATCTTTTAAACAATTGTTTCGAGTTTAGTTTTTTTTTTTTGAATCTAATCAAATGATTTTTATTAAAATACTATTGTCATGCTGATTCATTCTCATATATTAGTAATTAAAAAATTTATTAACGATTTGGTGGCTGTACAAATTCATTTATTAATTAAGACGATTGTCATTTAATCATTATTTGATATTAACTAGGCGTCTATCCAACCTGCGTTTAAAATGTATTTAATGAATTAGTGATAACATTTTTAATTTTTAATTTTTAAAATTATATTAATGACTATAATTATAATTCAGATGTTTCTTAAAAACGGCATTGCTACAGGAAACTTATTTTTTTAATTTCACAATAGTTTACACAATCTATAATAATTAACGCACAGTAAGCATATATATGATAAGGGCTATCATAATATGATTACTGGATAAGAAGCCACCCACTAGTGGCACTTGTCTGGGATGTTAGATTATTTTATTATTTATTATTTTTCTCCCCTCAGTTTCCTAGCAAATCCAGGCGCAAGTTATTTTTTAGGTGACGTCTGGGGTTGTTAGTTAAGGTTTGAGTTGACCGGTTTTTGATGAGTAGGTTTTGGTGAGTTTGGAGACAGATATGAAAATGTTTGTAAAATAGTGCTGCTTCTTCTGACACAGTTGTAATTGAGAAGTCTTTATACAAAGTGTAATTAGATACAAAGGGCGGGGCTTCGTTATCTTCCTAAGCGCAATATTCTGGAATTGTTGAATTTTGTTGGTATTGAACACCTTTTGCAATAACCCATAATCGAAGACCATACCTCCATAATGGTTTAACGTTTTGTACATAAGAACTTTAACTTTTAAACCGGAGTTTTTATTATTTGTGAGTAAGGTTCGTGGCGACGGGCATTTTAGGCAAATCTCTTGATACGAATATGTCTATTCTAAGTGAGGCGCTTATCCAAGTTAAGTCCTAGGTAACTAACTGTGTCAGATGTAGGTATAATAGTAAATATTTATAATTTTTATTAATACTTGTAAGTTATATGACATCATATTTTAGTGTACCTAAAAATCTGTGTATAAAATGTTGAACTTAAAAATAATATTGTGTACCTTTTTTTTTTTAAAAACTTATGCTTGAATTTTTTTCTAATTGAATTTTTTTCCCTACAGAAGCCGAGGAGTTGCTACATCTACAACGTCTGGATTGGCTTATATTATATTATTCACCCTAACAAAATCATACTTAATAGTTGAAATGTATTTAAGTCTGGAGTATACTATGATTCTCTTTGGTTGTGTTGGCGTTTTTGGTTTGATCTATTTCTATTTTTATTTGCCGGAAACTGAAAATAAAACTTTATTAGAAATTGAAGAATTTTTTGTATCGACCAAAAACGGCTAAAATTATTAATTATTTTTTTTGATGTACATAATAATACATATTTATGTGATTCATTATTTTTATGTAAGTCTTAGATTTTAAGAGGTTGCCGCCCTACCACGCGCATTACGCCGCCCTACCCGCAAGTGTGATTCTCACATAGTATAAAACGACAATACTTTCTTTTGGCAGAGCCAATTATATTTTGCTGTTAGTTGTTATGAGTTATAATCAAACTTAAAGGTGAGAACATTGTTTAATATTTATATTAAAACGCTGATATTTTTTGCGATATTTAAATTTTTAGTAAATTATGAGTGTGTAAATTATTACAAATATAACTTAAAAATCACCATATCATGTTTGATATAAATATCGTAAACAAATAAACACGTCATATAGTGTCACTATCCTGTAATTATATAATAAGTTGATATTATAGCTAACAATACGAAATTGGTATTTTTTTTAGAAAATTAAAAGTATATACTTAGCATCATCTTATAACTCATAGGTGCCGACCTTCAAAACCATTAACTATTACCTAGGTTAAATTACCTATACTGTCAAATAATATTTTCAGTTATGATATTAGTATGTGTAAACCTATTAAATTTAAGTTAATTTGGTGTTTAAATAATATTACATTGTAAAATCACTTAATGTTGAGTCTATGTTGAGAGTTTTAAATTTTGTATACACTGAATGCATATAATTTATTGGTGAAATGTGAAATTGATTGAAGATTTTTTTTATTGTTTTGTAAATTTTTTTATTTAAATAAATTAAGTTTGGAATATTTTTTAAGAAATAATTTTAAATGTTGAGTAAAGTGGGAGTGTATTGATTTTTAAATCGTTTGATTCAATAATTTATTGATGCGTTTTTATTTTTGTGGGAATTTATAATAGAAAAATGCTTTGATCTTCAACTATGAGGATGGTTTCTGATAGAAAATTGTATAAAGAAATCCCAGTACTCTTCATAATATTAAGGAAAAACTAGAATTTATACACAAAATCAGATTTTCACAAAAATTATTTTTTTCTTTTGTTGTTATTAAAAATAAATAACAATAGGTACTTGATATTTTCACAAAATGTTAACATAAGCATTTTCTATACATGTATAATTAAAAAAAACATTTTGGCTATTTTTTACTACTTATATTCTATATATTTATAAACCTTTTATTTTTTCCTATAAATAATGTCGCTTGGTCAAAGCTATTATATATTACATATTATTATATGTTTATACTTTATATTCATGTATTACGAGATTCATTATAGGTTGGTTTCACAGTTATTGTTATGTAAGTGTGATATTTAAACGTTGACGTAATTGGATATTAAAAAATAAGTAAAATAATGGAACCATCATACAGTTTTAGTTATAATTTGAATAAAATAAAACATTATCATTTATGAATTTTTAACGTGAATATTTAGAATTTTATCCGAATAAAGTTATTCCATAAATATTATTCCAAATATTTTATCATCAAGCCTTTTGACTTGAAATAAAATGTTGTCGGTTGAATAAATTAGTATTCATTACGATTTCGTTGTGTTATTATGTTTCATAAATTATACTACTAAGTATCTATACGTAGTTAGCCTTATTTAAACATATACATTTAGTGTTCACGATAAAAATTCAGTTCGTTAATTCAGTTATATTTATTGGGATTTTTTAATTCATAATAATAAATTTGTGCACATTATACTAGCCTTATAATATTATATTATCTACCACCATCATGGCCAACGAAATTGACATCGACGGACCCAATCCTGCCAAACACTATGGTGGGATGTCGATATTGGCACAAGTTAGTTCACATACCGTATTTACGTACAACAAAAAACATAATAAATTATATGATATAATATATAATAAATTATCTAAACTCAAAATTCGTTGTAGGTGTGCGCCACCATAGCACAAAGTTTCTTATTAGTGGGATTGGGCATGGAATTGGCCATGTCAGCGATTGTAATTCAAGATTTGTACAAAAATCCAAAAAGTGAATTTTCGTTGACAACGGAGCAAGTATCGTGGTACGGTAAGCATAGTATTATGTATATGCATGTTTTTTTTATTTTTGTTTGATCATGTTTCAATCCTTAGCTATACAATTAACCTTTTATACATTTTTCACTACCTACATAATAATTTGCAATTTTTCGCGATTTCGTAAAAATTTGAACTTTAAATGACTATAAAGATAAATTGTTCCTATGTATCTTTAAAATGTTTAAGCTGCTATACACTGTTGAGCTTCTTAGGAATTATTTCTTATTTGATTCATTTTCTAAGTATGTAAATTATTCCAACGTTTTAATAAATACAAAAATAATTTCAAACCGCTGCAGCAATACACGATCACGTTCACATCGCTCGTGCAATTGACGTGTTTACCTAATTATATAATTTAATATTTTATTTTTTAACCATGCATACAGGGAGCATATTATTCGTATTTCATCCGACCGGCAGTTTTTTGTCGGGATTCCTGCAGGACAGATTTGGAAGGAAAAGATGCATGGTTTTAGCCAACATACCCAGTATTTTGGGATGGATAATGCTATACTACACACACTCAGTGGTTTCACTGTACACGTCCACCGTGCTGATGGGGTTAAGTATAGGGTTCAGCGAAGCTCCAATATTGTCTTACGTCGGCGAAATAACCGAACCTAGGCACAGGGGAACGATGACTTCGTTGGCGTCCGCAGCGAGCACGTTTGGGATATTGTTGATTTTCATTTTGGGGTATTTTTTTGAATGGAGAACCGTCGCATTGCTGAGCACACTTTGTCCAATCACGTGCATATGCCTCGTTATGTTGGTATGTTAATTAAATAATATTCAGTACGTTAAGTAGGTATCTAACGTGTACTGCAGTTCTACGAACATAAAATGTATGGTATTATTTTTTTACATTTGGTTTTTGGTTGTTTAGATCCCGGAGTCACCTTTATGGTTGATCGCCAACGGGAAAAACGATAAGGCCCAAAAGTCACTGTGTTGGTTAAGAGGATGGGTGAAACCCGAAGTGGTAAAAACCGAACTCTCGGAACTCGTTCGGTATAACGAAGTGTCTGTTACTCAACATGGCAACGTCAATATTGAAAATGAAAATATTTTTTCGAAATTAGCACAACTCACAGATCCATCAGTTTACAGACCTTTCAGATTAGTGATGTTTATTTTTTTTATTTCTAATGTAGTCTGCATGTCACCTTGCAAACCGTATTTAAGCCAAATAATGAATGAAGTTGGTTTATCAGAAAATCGCAGTTTGTTGTTTGTAAGAAAATAAGTTTATATCACACAAATAATTATGATGCACATTTCAGTAAGTAATTGGATTATATTATACTTTTATTTTAAGGTTAATTTCGCCGTTCTACAAAGCGCTGGATGCCTTATACTAATTTTATCGGTGAAACACTTGGGAAAAAGATTTTTAGCCGTTATGTCGGTTTCGATGAATACTATTTTGCTATTTTTATTCGGTCTATACGTCATGACATTGAAAAATGGTTACACCACATCAATTCCTTGGATTCCCACAGTCATATTAAGTGGAATTAATTTATTTGGAACTTTTATCACCATTTTACCTTGGATGTTAATTAGCGAAGTCTTTCCTAACAAGTAAATCAGATAAATACAAATATTTAAATACTATATGAGCAAAACATAAAGAAAATATTGTCTTAATAGGTTTTTGTAACGATAAATTAATACATGAACTAATTCAACTACTTGTCGAGTTGATCGACTTTAAATCGGTTGGTAATGACATGGTAATAATATTATTTTAGAGAAGATTGGTAATGAAAACGTAGGATAAATGACAATAGGTTCCAATAATAAGCTTGTTAGTTGTTATGAAATGTAATTTAATTATTCAAATTGAATTTGGATTTAGAGTAAAGAAGCGGGTAAGTGGGTTATTGTCTGCTGTATATTAGGTGTCCATAGAGATTTTTCACTCTAATGGACGTGTTAAATTTGAATTTATTGGTATAAAATCATTACGTACGAAAAACGATTCTGAGCAAAGACGACCTATCAGACTATACCTAATATTACTAAGTAGAAATAATTTATGATATTATTGTGATCAATGTACTTAATTTATTTTTCTATAAACTAGTCACACTAGTATACTATAGTAGGTTAAATTCATGGTTGTCTAAAAAATTTAAATTTACAACGTAATTGTGTGTGTATAATATAAATAAGTATATACCTACTCTTAAAGTTACAAGTACCTACCCACAAATAATATTTTTAAATTATAACAGAACTTTGTTTAATGTATACTAAAATAATATTGACGAGCTATATCATTGTAATTCAAAAAGCTAATAATTAAAACAAAAATCACAACAAAATAACCAAAACTTAATTCTTAGTTTAACATTTTAAATATATCATTTCGTTCAAGTTTGAACTTCACATAACTGTAAAAATCACTATGTTTATAAATATTTAAAATTTTTTAATTACAGGATTGACTATTTACATAACCTTGTTTTATATTTTCAATCCTCAGCTATAAGACAGCAAAGTAATTTGTACATTTTGTAATAAATGTTGTCATAATTTGTTTTTAATGCTTATAAAAAATCAAGCCTGTGTATTTTTGATATTATTCAACTGCTGATGTTACTATATATCAAGAATCTTAAATTAAATTTTCAAGATTTTTGACTCAACAAAAAAAGTTTTTATCGACAAATGTGTATAGAAAAAAAACTAAAAAAAATTAAAAATTAAAAATGTCTATAAATGGTTCATAGCAAGTCAAAATATTTTTTAAAAGTTATCACGTATAATAAATGATAAAATAAACACACTGTGTAAATTTTCAAGAATCTACATCCATTTTTTTTTTAATTACACCAAAATAAGAAAATCTTTGCTTGAGAAATCCAGATTATTGACATTTAAAGAAAAAAAAAATTAAGACATAAAAATGTCCGTAAACAGCTCAAAATAACTCAAAATATTTTGAACAATTTAAGGTGTTGGCAAATTGTGTTTTTGAAAATTGCATGTATCTATACAACAATTTGTTGTAAAGTTACACCATAAACCATGATAGATTTTGTCAAAAACCGGATTTGCATAAAAATTCCCTTTTTAGGTTTTTTGTTTGTTTTTCGTGCCTCTATTATAGACTATTTTGAATTTTTTACTTTTGATCCCCAAAAGAATCATATAGATTTACTTTCCTACAAGAACAGATATTCTTAAAGAATATCAAAGCATTTTTACTTCCCCAAAATATGATGAGAGACAGGAAAAAAGTTTTAAAAGAACACACATCATTGTAAAACCAAGACAATTATTCCTCCGCTCAGAATCTCAAATCATTAAAATATGCAATTGAATGCGTTTTTTGTTCTTACAGTTTCTTTTGAAGTTTTAAATTAAGTTGTTTATGCTTTTTTGTTTATTACGCGAATTATCGATAATTAACTACATTTAAATATGTGTATTGCAGTTATTCATTTTTGCTCTGAAAGTTATTAAATGTTTTTAAAACTATTATGTTTACAGAAGCCGAGGAGTCGCTGCTGGATCATGTGAAGCTTCATCGTATTTGTTAATGTTCATACTAACAAAATTATACTTAACAATTGAAATTAATTTAACCTTGGAGTACACTATGCTTCTATTTGGTAGCATTGGGCTTTTTGGATTGGTTTACATATATTTTTATTTACCGGAAACTGAAAAAAAAACGCTTTTAGAAATTGAAGAAAATTTCAAATAAATTGTAAATAGCTAGTGCTTTACAGTTGATTAATTGTCTCATGTGTTAAAATTATAATATAATATACTTGGAACTAAAAAAATATATATGTATTAAAACGCAGTATACTTAAAGTTAGATTAAATTGAATATTTGTAAAATATTGAGTTTGGAGCTCTTTTATGATGTAAAAGTGGAAAAAATTAACACAATTAGTTAAATTAACACTTAAAGTGTTATCAACAGTATACTTTATTGTAATTAATACTCCGCAGCGATTGATTCATCACAAAATAATAATTTGGCATGATCTAGACATAGTTAATAATCTTTATATTATATAATATCCTGTGCCTTTATTTTAATGTATAATATATATTTAATATTGCACAATATTTAATTCTAAATTTATAATTTTAATCGTTATTCGTTACTATGAATCATTATATGGACTTAAGTAGTTAAGTGATTCCCAATATGTTTATAGCTACAATATTTGTAATATTCTTCGTCAATTCCTTGTGATTTATTAATTATTAAATTTGTTTTTCTTTATATGTGAATACTGTTGTAGCGGTTCAGCTTTAATAAATTAAATATTGGAAGATAATTTTAAAAAAATGATTTACTTGACGCTTACTGCTGTAACATATTTAATTTATATCCGATATTCCAGCAAAATAAAACTTAGGATTAGACTGAAAAAGAAAACACTGTAATTTGATCGCAGAGCAAATATTAGGTAAACCGATGTAGTGCTCACATATAAAATTTACATTTATTAAAATTATATCCAATCACTTTACATTCTGTAATCAATGGAAGCCCTGAGTATAAACAAAAAATATTCGTTTTTCGTGAGTCAACAAATCCCTGGGTTAGGAGCAATTCTTTAAAATGCGGTTTTGTAAAATATTTCCTTAGCATGCAATGTGCATTAATAGTATGAAACGAAAATTCTGTATAAATTTCAAGTTTATAGCGATCATAGTTTAGGCTCTGCGTCGATCAGTCATTTAGTCAAGAAACGTTCAATTATGATACATATACAATATACATAATATAATATAATAAATAATGTTAAAGAACCGTACACATACAAATATATCACTCATAATATATATGTACAATAATTAATATTATGTGTATGTATGTACATCCATACTTTATGCTTTGTAATTAATTTGTCGGTTTTTCTGTTAATAATGGTCAATTATGGATATAATTAGTGTTATGAGTCGGTATAATACAACTATACGGTATCATAAATCATAGTGAATATAATAAATAATAATAGATTTATCATTTATGGACCTTAAACCTGAATATTTAGAATGTTATCTGAATAGATTTATTTCGTAGAAATTACAATTTTATCTACAAGCCTTTAGGCTTAAAATACAATTTTGTGTGTTGAATCAATTAGTATTCATTAAAATTTTGTTGCGTTATTATGTTTCATAAATTATAATATTAGGTGCTTACGTAGTTGGTCTTATTTAAACATATTATTTAGTGTTCAAAATTAAAATTCAGTCCAATGATTCAGTTGTAATATTTATGGTGATTTTTTTTTATTCATATACATATAAATTTGAATATATTATATTAGCCTTATAATATTATATTACCTTTCACCATCATGTCCAATAAAATTGACATCGACGGACCCAATCCTGCCAAAAACTATGGCGGGATGTCGACGTTGGCACAAGTTAGTTCATATATCGTATTTACGTACAACAAAAAAAAATATTAATATAATAATTTATCTAAACTCAAAATTCGTTGTAGGTGTGCGCCACCATAGCACAAAGTTTTTTATTAGTGGGATTGGGCATGGAGTTGACCATGTCAACGATTGTAATTCAAGATTTGTATAAAAATCCAAAAAGTGAATTTTCGTTGACAACGGAGCAAGTATCGTGGTACGGTAAGCATAGTATTATGTATACGCATGTTTTTTTTATTTTTGTTCGGGTATTTTCAGTCCGTAGCTTAAAAATTGAACCTTTTCGACATTTGTCACTACCAACAAAATAATTTGCAAATTTTCGTGGTTTCGTAAAAATTTTAACTTTGTACGGTGATAAAAAAAAATTATGTCAATGTATCTTTGTTATTTTTAAACTGCTATTATAACAACTTATGAGAAACGCTGTAATTTATTTTAAACCTTTTTGACTCGGTGAAAATATTTAACTACCTATCTATGGTTATTTGCTTTTAGATTATACTGAAAATTTAAAACGACTTCGTCGAAAACTAGTTTTGAGTAAAGGTTATTGTTTTTTATTTTTTATTTATGTATTTATGCTTTTCTCGATCACTACAAAAAATACAGGGCAATTTCTATTTTGACCTTTAAAATGTACCAAATAGAACCAGTTTTCTACTAGACGTTTAGAAACTGCCCTAAAAGATGAAAGTGCATGCAATTGTTTTCATTAATCTTAAGAAAGATACAAAACGCACATCATTGTAAAATCAATATATTCATGAATAAGCTCGGCTCAATATCCAAAATGACTTATGTTTACATAGAAGATGATATTGTTATTTTAACGTGTAAAAAAATATCTTGAATTCTTATATAGGTAATTATTTTGATAAGTAACCCACTTAGATGACTGTAATTTATATCGTTATATTATTTGAACATTTATAAATATTATATAACGTGTTTTCCATTTAAAATAATATACACATTTATATGTAAATATAATGTGTGTGGTTTTTGGATTTAATTTATGTTTTGAACACAAGTTTTACAAACGAGTTTTGCTACTATCGTAGTCAATTCGAAGTAATAAGATTTGCATGTTATTGACATTAGTTCTTAAAAGATCCCGAAAAAAAGAAATTTCAGATAAAATGTCAACATATTTTATGATACAGTTACAACATATTACATAATTTTTACTTTTATTTGATTTGATTTAAACATTTCAAAGCAACGTGGGAATAAGCGATCACATTCAAATCGCTAGTGCAATTGACGTGTTCACCTAATTATATAATTTAATATTTTATTTTTTAATCATGCGTACAGGGAGCATATTGTTCGTATTTCATCCGACCGGCAGTTTTCTGTCGGGATTCCTGCAGGACAGATTTGGAAGGAAAAGATGCATGGTTTTAGCCAACATACCCAGTATTTTGGGATGGATAATGCTATACTACACACACTCAGTGGTTTCACTGTACACGTCCACCGTGCTGATGGGGTTAAGTATAGGGTTCAGCGAAGCTCCAATATTGTCTTACGTCGGCGAAATAACCGAACCTAGGCACAGGGGAACGATGGCTTCGTTGGCGTCCGCGGCGGGCATGTTTGGGATGTTGTTGATTTTCATTTTGGGGTATTTTTTTGAATGGAGAACCGTCGCATTGCTGAGCACACTTTGTCCAATCACGTGCATATGCCTCGTTATGTTGGTATGTTAATTAAATAATATTCAGTACGTTAAGTAGGTATCTAACGTGTACTGCAGTTCTACGAACATAAAATGTATGGTATTATTTTTTTACATTTGGTTTTTGGTTGTTTAGATCCCGGAGTCACCTTTATGGTTGATCGCCAACGGAAAAATCGAAAAGGCTCAAAAGGCACTGTGTTGGTTAAGAGGATGGGCGAAACCCGAAGTGGTAAAAACCGAACTCTCGGAACTCGTTCGGTATAACGAAGTGTCCGGAACTCAAAATGGCAAAGTCAACATTGAAAATGAAAATATACTTTCAAAATTAGCACAACTCATAGATCCATCCGTTTACAGACCTTTCAGATTAGTGATGATTATTTTTTTTATTTCCTACATTGCGTGTCTTTTACCTAGCAAACCGTATTTTAGCCAAATAATGGGTGAAGTTGGTTTATCAGAACATCGAAGTTTGTTGTTTGTAAGAAAATACTTTAAGTCACACAAACAATAATAATTTATTATACACGTGTAAGTAGGTAATTGGATTAATATTATTTTATTTTTTTCATTTTTAAGGTTATTTTCGGCGTTCTGCAAAACGCTGGATGCCTTATACTAGTTTTATCGGTGAAACACTTGGGAAAAAGATTTTTAGCCATAATGTCGGTTTCGATAAATACTGTTTTGCTATTTTTATTCGGTCTATACGTCATGGCATTGAAAAATGGTTACACCACATCAATTCCTTGGATTCCCACAGTCCTATTAAGCGGAATTTCTTTATTTGGAACTTCTATCAGCACTTTACCTTGGATGTTAATTAGCGAAGTCTTTCCTAACAAGTAAATCAGATAAATACAGATATTTAAATACTATATGAGCAAAACATAAGGAAAATATTGACTTCATAGATTTTTTTTATCGATAAAATAATAATAATATATTAACTAATTTTGATTTTTAAAATTCTAAACTGAATAATCTTTTTGAGTTGTTCGATTTTCAAACGATTGGTAATAAGTTAATAACTTTGTAATAATATAATTTTAGAGAAAATCGGTAATGAAAACATAGAACAAATGACAATAGGTTCCAATATAAGCTTGTTAGTTGTTATAATATGTATTTTTGTGTATTTTCTTTAGCTTAATAATTTAAATTGATTTTGAAATTTCTTTTTTGGTTTTTTTCCGGCGATTTTGAAAATTACTGAGAATTTTAATGTTGACCTCGCAAGCACGCAACTTGATTCACTTTTACACAGGAAAATATTTTGGTTCTTAATTTTTCTTTTAAATTTTTAAATTAAGTTGTTTATGCTCTTTTGTTTAATACACGAATTATTGATAATTATCTACATTTAAATATGTGTATTGCAGTTATTCATTTTTGCTCTGAAAGTTATTAAATGTTTTTAAAACTATTATGTTTACAGAAGCCGAGGAGTCGCTGCTGGATCATGTGAAGCTTCATCGTATTTGTTAATGTTCATACTAACAAAATTATACTTAACAATTGAAATTAATTTAACCTTGGAGTACACTATGCTTCTATTTGGTGGTATCGGGCTTTTTGGATTGGTTTACATATATTTTTATTTACCGGAAACTGAAAAAAAAACGCTTTTAGAAATTGAAGAAAATTTCAAATAAATTGTATATAGTTAGTGCTTTACATTTAATTAATTGTCTTATGTGTTATAATTATAATATAATATATATAAAAAAATATATGTATAAAAATGCACTATACAGTATATCTAGAGTTAGATTAAATTGTATATTTGTAAATTATTGAGTTTGGAGATGTTTTACGATATAAAAGTGGAAGTATCTCTATAAAATTAACACCAAAAGTGTTATCAACAGTATAATATATTGTTCATATTAATATTTAATACTCTGCAATGATCGGTTTATCACAATATTGCTTTACAAAATAATAATATGGCATGGTCTAGAACATAGTGAATAATCTTTGTATTATATAATGTTATATGCCTTTATTTTTATCTACAATATATATTGAATACTGAACAATATAGGTACTAATGGTATAATAATTGCTAATTATACCCACTACTCTATTACAGAGGTACTTCAACAATTTATGCTATGTTAAATTATTGTAAAACTATTACTTTGTTCAGCGTTGTTTATTTATGAATGAAATAAATAAGTATTGCTGTAGATGATGTTCTACATATAATATTACATATTACATATGTGTAGATGTATACAGTGTTATTAAATCATTAATGTCAGTTATTACTTATTTTTGTACATTTCTTTTTTTTCTCACTTCTTATTGTGGCCAATTGACCGTTAATAATTTTCACGTTTCATACTTTTTTGTTGTATTGTCTATTGATGATTTTATCTCATTCATAACTACGAATTATTATATTAACGTCCTAAGTTACGTGACGCTTATTGCATTAACATCTTTTATTCTATATTCGATGATCATGCAAAATACAACTTTTTGTTTTATATTTAAATAGCATTCACTGTAATTAATTGATCGCAGATAAAATATTAGGCAAACGGACGTAGGGCTCGCATGAAAAATTGTTTTGCCTGGTTTAAGAAAAATACTAATTTTAAATATCCGTTATCACTGACCTCAAGATGCACATCGGTTTGGGTGCGACCCGCTTCGGAGGAAAATCGGGGCTATTATGAGTTGTTGTAGTCGTTGAGCTACTATTGCTACAGGATTCGGGTGAATGTCCGGGTTTCTATTTTTTAATCATACAATGTTAATTTCTTTAATGAATGATTTATCTAAGATCAATTAAACATATTTAGTATTATCTCAGAGCGCACCACAAAGCTTCCATTGCTAATTAATAGCTTTCTACTACTCTGCACAAAGTGTCTTGTGCTTGTGTACCTACATTTAAGTACATGGGTTTTGTATAATAATATGATATTTATAAGATTATTTTTACTTTATAGTTTAATAATTATTAATAATTATTTATAGATAAAGGCTTCAATACATTCTGTAGATCAGATATAGGTAAACAGATAAGATTGTCAAAATCTACACACGCTATAACTCATATTAGTATTATTATTAGTGAAACCTTTAACATAATATCAAACATAAATAATTTTAAACAGTGCATCCCAAAATGTTCAGCGTGAATCTGTGGGCGAGAACCTAGAAGGATGCAACTATTATTTGGTGAAATACAAAACTACTTTATCAAATTTGGGCAAAAGGAGTACCTCCAGTTTTCGGAGTCAAATCGATTATAAATATCATAAAAAAAAATAATTAATAAAAGTATAAAAATAAATAAATATTAATTATACAATCGATTATTATGACTTGTTTAACTATTTATCAACCGATTTTCTTAATTTGTCGTAATTCAAAAACGAACAATTCTAGATACTTGAAATTTACACCAAATGTTCATCATTTTTTAGAAATTTAAAATTTTTTTAGTTTTTATTTAATTATTGCCAATAAATAATCTTAAAAATGTAATGGATGGTTCTGCATATTTTTTTATTTGATAACTTCACACAGATTTTTACCTTAGTATGTATAATTTTCTATTTTCAAATTAGAATAGCTATAAGGACCTCACTATCGATATCAAAAACGTTGATCGCTTAATTTAGGTCCTATATTCCTATCATTATTTGATCATATAAATTATTTAATTTTGTATTCAAAGTATAACGCTATGGAGACTATTTGGATATAATCCTTATTTAAAAAACATCGATTTAAAAATGATGTCTTTCTTTGGTTGTAGACGTAATACACTTGTGTACTGTGTACTTACACAGTTCCACAGTTACACTTCAGGAATCAAAATCACCAAACCTAATACTAGAACTCGGTTAACTTCCGCTCACCTAGAGAAAACTCGTTGAAGATTACATATTCTCAAATACCATCAAACAAGTAAAGAAAGTTAAGTAAAGTCAAATACCCCACTAATGATTTATATTTTAAAATTTAAAACTGTATGTTGTACCTTATAATAGTTAATAAATAATTTATAATTTAAAATCTAATTATTTGTATTGTTTTTTCTTATATACACTTATAAACTTTCTGCAAAGTTATACCAAGATATTTTCCGATCAGCTTCCCAGGGTTTGGTATATTTTGGTATATTGGCATATAGTTAAAATTGCGGGAGGTTGGAATACGGTTACGATGTAGAATGAACAAAACGCTTACACTTTTTGATTGATTTATTGATATCATCCGATTATTTCACTTGGATAATAAATTATAAATGATATTTTAAATTAACTGTCATTGCTTTTATGTGGCAAAATTAAATGTAGATTGTAAGTATAAAACTAAAAAGTACAAATACATTTTTATAACTAGAATATTAATATTTTAGTGCAATTAATTATTTTTCATTTTATTTTAGTTTTAATTATTACATTAAACTAGGTAGGTACCTAGTACCTACATTTCTGCCTACACGATAATGAAGAAAAATTTGTTTTGAAAGCATTGAAAATGAAAAATGTGAATGATAAGTAATTATATAAATAAATAATGACATAATTTGAATATTGTTTACATATTTACTGATTAAGTATGATGCTGTTAGGAATTTAACTTCTATTTTAAAAAACAAATAAGCCACGGTACACTCATATACCAACGTACTTAAAATTGTTTTTTTTTTAATATGTTGGCTAGTAGCATAGAACAATAAATAATAATAATAATAATAATGCTAGTAGCCTAGTATATAAACATTAGTGTAAGTAATACCGTGCTGGCTAATAAGGATAATATAATATTGTTTTGTATACAATGCGTAAATGTCTAATCGAATATGATTAATTTGTTTATACCGTAATATTATGACAGTAAATAGTTTTAAATGTATCCAATAACTTTTGACTTTTTTGAATTTTAGATTTAATATCGTGTGTTTCAACTTTAAAGCAATGCTATAAATTAATTGAGCTGTTTTTTCTCTACTTAAAATAATCAACAGTCTGTATACTATGTGTGAAGTGATATTTCGCTAATAATCAAGAACTGGCTGCAGGTCGTACGGTATACGTAGTTTATTAATTATAAGTTAGTCTATTTTTTACTACTTTAAACTCACCTGGAGGGTCGGAAATATATTACATTAGCTCGAAAAATGAAAATTTAACCACCCTCTACCGAAGGATTTTATCGACAGAACCTACAGGACCGGGCCCAGGGAGTATTTTAGATCCATTGGATGAGTGTCAGAAAATCGATGATTACGAAGAAAAAATTTATTTTTTGAAATTTAAAAATAATTTTAAATAAGACTACTGACTCGCCTAACTGCGTAGTCGTAATAAATCGAGTTTTGGTCTTGAGGTTTTGAAAATGGTAGGTTACATTAAGGGAATTCAAAGCTTTTGATCCATTGCAGTACAATGTTTTTTTTAACAAAAACTATAAGGCCCTATCACAGCCAGCCGGCAGGTAAGTATAGGATTTACCATTGGATTGCACTTCAAAATAAAAATATTATTTTCATTTATAAGTTATATAAGCACCGGAATTCGTAGTACATATTCCTGAAACTTTAACATAGTGCAGCTGTCAGCTGACGAGTATACAAATATGTAGATAATATGTTGATTTTACCGATTGTCCATAAATTGTGAGTTTGGTGAGATTACAAAGCGGAAATACTGCCGGTGTAAAATTGCTCCCCCTTTTCAGAACATTTCATTTTGTCGTAAACCATAAGAGTTCTCGTTCAATAACATTATACAAAAAAAAGTATTGGTCCGAGAGTTTTGCAAATGGCATGAGTATATTTCTCGGGACTTGTTTATCGTGCTTTTGTACTTGTGAAATGAATAATAAGTCCTTCAATCGGCCAAACTAAAGCAAAAATTAAAATATCCCCCTGGGTTGTTGTGCAATCTTAATCACCGTAAATAATGCAGTCGGCTGGACAATTTCACAGTTGATTTCAAATGATGTAGGCTACACACAATATGAGTTTCATGGAAACACTTACAAATACTGTAGTCTCTTAGCGGACCACTGGAATTTTTAAAAGTGAAATCTGTTTTTTATAGGGGGATTTCAATATATAAGTTTTTTTCAAACTCGGCTTTATAAACATTTGTGAGATTCGTCTGATACTTTGAAATCGGACTTGTTGAGGAAAAATGTTCCTGGCTCATTTTACTTCTTTGCTAAAATAATGTCCGAATCTCATTTTATATTCTTTAGTTTTTTGCATCTCAATTTAATTGGTTTGAATATCCCATTTGGAAATTGTTTTACAAAAGGTAGGATGTCATTTTCGTTCTATTTGTATTCGTAACGATCGAATCTGCCAAACGGAAATTTTATATAAATATCTTTCCCATTTATTTTGGTTATAACGCCTGTGAGATACGGATCACCACCAGTTAATATGTTCACGCCCTCCCTAACAATAAGCATTTGGTTCGTCTGTTGTGGTTCTTCAGATATCTATGAACAAAAGGTATATTTAAGCACAATACTTAGCACATTGTGTTTTTAATTGCAACCTACAGATTACTGATTAGTACTAAAGTCCAAAATATATCTTCCGAGGTGACATCGAAATGGGCATAGCCCATTCGGCTCCCGATTTTCCTAAACGGCTCCCGTTTTCAAAAAGGTTAATTCCCAAACGGCTCCCGTCAAAAAAGGTTTTACGAACAGGTCAATACCCAAACGGCTCCCATCGAAAAAAGTTTTACAATCAGGTAAAATACGTGTAGTAATTCTGTTTTTTACAACACAAATTCCTTCCCACTTCATACAGACTTAGGACTGTCTCTAAAGAGGTGTGGTTAAAAATGTGTTGTTGTTTTTTAAGGTTAAATTATAAAAATTATATTCTGTGAATTAAATGTAAAATATAATGTAAAAATATAAAAAAAAATTATGTATAAAAATATAAAAAAAAATTATGAAATAGGTAAATTTTTGATGCACAATTTTTTTATATAATCGATGGTAGTTATTTTATTTGATGAAAATTCTCGTATAATGTTTTCAATGAGCTCCTGTTTTTTTGTTGGTTTTGGTGTATTTACACCACTTCGAGCTTTAATTTGTGTTTCGGATTGTATTTCGGTTAGTATGTCAATAACCTTAAAAATATTAGGATGAGCAGAATTGAATTCGTTGTTGAATCTGCTGTGGAACGATTCACAGCCATTTGTGGTCAAAGCAAGGGAAGATGAACATTCAGCCCACATTTCAGGAGGAAAACGACTATCTGACATCATATAATTTTCAAAAATATAGTCGAACACTTTGTCCACTTTATCATCTATCGGTTTGATAGCCATTAAATCATCTGTAAAACAGTTCAATACTTCTGACGGTGGTAGGTAAGGAAGGCCAAATAAATATTTTAGAGATTTTCCTATTTCAGAATCTTTGTTTCTAAATTCTGATGCAAGTCCAACTGACTGAATCTTCCGCCACCAACTTTGACCCAAATGGAATCTACATCCCTTTATTTTTACTGATGGCCACGTTTTTCGTATTGCAAAATGAATAGCCTCTTCAAAATCTACGAAAACAACTTGTGGGTCAATGTAATCACACAATGCTGAAAAAGCTTTTCCGTAGGTAACCGAGGTTTTATTAGGCAAAAAACAGTAAATCAGAGGAAGATAGTATCCGTTATGTAAAACATGGATGGTAAACATTTGGTAAAAAAATTTTGGACAACACTTAAACGTGCCATCAACATAAATACTACGGCTATTCTTGAGAATGTTCAAGTTGGTGTTACATGTAAGAATAACAATATTTGAAGCTGTATCATTATGAAATAAAAAATTCTCGCCTGTCAAAGTCTTAATACCAATTTTATCTAAAGCATCCTGCGCTTCCTCTGTCGATTTAGGTAATTTTGGTAGTAATTTTGAACGTGCATAATATACTGTCTTACGAATAGCATTGACATCTTGTGTGGTCAAAACATGTAAATCATTAGGTACAAGTTCACTTCGGAGAAGTTTCGCGGGCCTTTCGTGCAAATTTTCTTGCGCTTTACGCTTTAAGCTATTGCTAATCTCCCTCCTCCTTAAAACACTGACATCTAATTGCTCGTGGTTATGGTCCAGATGTTCATCGTACCTTTCACCAATACTGTTTTGCTTAAAATAAGCCTTACAGCTACGTGTTGTACATTTCCAACGCTCCGCGTCGTCAGCGAGTTTTTTGTGAAAAGAAAACCAAAAATGTTCTATACATTTTTTTTCACGGATTTCACTTGACATCTCGGAACATACACACAACACGACGGCGGCGGATATTGTGAACAGACTGAAGTTCAAACGAACTGCACAAGCCGACACGATTGTGTGCCATATCCATTATCTATTATCGCATAATCGGTCGATATTTCCAATATGCTATAGATTAGATATCGATGATATACGAGTCATATATACACGACGAAATAATATACACAAGCTTTGGCGATTATGATACTACTACATTATAGTGCATTGACATCAAATGTCATTAGAGTTTAACCAAAGGATAGACGTAGCATATAACTATTTATACTTTATAAGAATTTTCCACTTTGCCCGTAACATATATAAAATATAAAATATAAATAAAATAAAATAAAATATAATTACAAAATATAAAAAAAATATATAAAAATATTGTAAAATCGTGTGTCTTAAAATGTGACCGTACCGAATCGTATTCTACCACTTTTTTCGACGGGAGCCGTTTGGGTATTGACCTGTTCGTAAAACCTTTTTCGACGGGAGCCGTTTGGGTATTGACCTGTTCGTAAAACCTTTTTTGACGGGAGCCGTTTGGGAATAATAAACAATAGACGGGAGCCGTTTGGGTATTGACGATCGAAATAACTTTTTCCCAAATCATTACCAACAAATGACTTTAAAATTACAGCAGTTCATTTGAAATGCATAACTCTGAAAATTCTTAATTTTAAACGAAAATTAAATTTGATGTTTTTGTGTGTTCCTTGTGTTGGATAAAAAAAACATCTTCATCTTTGCCATAGAAAAGTAGTTTACATGAAACTATCTGGGATAGTTGCACTCAAAATTGTACACTTGACACTTGTGGACTAGGCCATAACGGGGATACCACAATGAAAAAAATGTAATACCTCATGTATTTAAACGGACTTCAATATTCCAAAGTTATAGTTTTTAAGCAAAGACGGTGAAGGAGTTTTCACACATCTACCTGTTTAGTAAATAAATTACGATGTGTATTGTTATACGTGTGTTTAAATGTCCACATAAATGTCTTGTCTCCGACGCACTCTTCGAGCAGTAAGCATAGGTAAAAGAAATATCAATGAAATAATGTGAGAACTTGATAAATAAACTTAACACCTAATTTGAATGATAGTCAAAATTATAGTCAAACATTTATTAAAATTCTGGTTTTTAATTTTTTGGAATTACTTAATATTTTTTATTCAATTCATTTTTAAGAAAATAAATAAATAATACCATAAGTCCATAACCGATTAGTAGGGACTCCCCTTCCGAAAACTTTTGAAAGTAGAAACATTTTCGTAGTGAATATAGTTTATTGACTATAATGTTATTAAGAATATTTTTATATTTTCGTTAAAGCAGTAATTTCAAATAAAATAAAATGTATCATTTTATTTTACTTCAACGTCGTAATAAAAACTAGGGTTGACGGTTAAGATAAGCTGGATAGGTATTGTTTTATTATAGGTATTGTCACCGATAATCTGACTTCTATAAACGAAAGTCAGGCACAAAAAATCAAAATTATTTAAGAAGATAACAATTGTAATTTGTAATTCTGTACACCGCTTATAGTGTATTATAAAACTATTTTATAATGTTTATTTTACTGCTAATTGTGCTAACGTTAACTCGTAAAAATGAATAAAAGAAACCAAGTACAAAACTAATTTACGAAACGCCGAAAGGTATGTTAAAAATTTACTGATTATTATTATATAAAATTATCATTAAATACTCATATTAGTTATTGTATATGTATTGTGTTAACCAATAATTACCATACTAAAGACCACTTAAAAAATACTGTTTTATTTATTTTGGACTGATAATCTCTTCACTGTCCAAACACAAATATATATGGATTTATCATCTAATCAGGCAGGCTCTAGTAAAATTTAATCTCGTTTTTCTGACGGCAACATTTTTGTAATAGCTATTTGACAAAACTTTTTTAGTTCTTATAAGTTGTTATTTTTAAAATAAATTTTTATATTTTGTAAATATATTTACAAAATAAATAATGTGTTCAAGTAACAATACAAGACTAGTATATCACAAAATACAAAGTAGGTATTGGCGAAACGTTAAATATTTCGACGTTAGAATCGCCTAGTGTGCAGTCAACTATAAGAACAATGTTTCAATCAGAGTTTGTCAATATGAATGCCGGACTTAGTTTCAAAATTATAACTTTTTGAAGTTTGCAATTTTGAGTAGTTTACGCTTACGCAGATTACTAGACGAATCTACTCGAAAAAAGTACATTTTAAAACTTTATGAAATAGGTAGTATGTAATTATTTATTTTGATGTGTACCTACTTACATTATACAGATCACAATGGTTGGGCTTGGAGGTTTTTATGATATAAGCCAATTTTTTTCATGTGGAAGGGGTAGTAAATATTCCAATCGTACCTACAAATATGACCAAATTACGCCACTGTTATTAAACAAATTACAATCATTATTTTATTTCCAGATTATAATATAGGTAATAAACTCGGATGCAAATAATAATATCACTATTATTTATTAATAATAATGCTATTTGGTAAAATAGATATTGAAGAAAATATAATTTAGTTTTTTTGTTTATCTGTATGGTATGTCTACGGTTTAGGCATGAATGGTGTATGCTCCATAATTCGCCTCGAGACCAGTTTTTCACTGATAAAAAAATAGATTCCAGTCCTATTATTATATAATTATATATTATAATATTATTATATTATGCACTGCTTATGCACATATTTCTATTTTTATTTATTCTTCAAGAAGATATGAGATAATGGGTTTCGATAAACTCGTCTATGCAGGCAAAGTGTATGAATTTATTCAAGCAATGGAACAAAATGTATTGGTCAATTAAAAAATTTTTCAGTAATCCAACAGTTATCCATATGAAAAACTTGGTGTGTTGGTCTAAATTCGTCCGAACTATTTACAGTTAACACTAATACAGTAATACGTACCAACGTGGAAATGTGAACAGACGTTTTATGTGTAGGTAAATAGAACTGTTTCATAACATTTTTGATACATAAAACATTTATTAAACATTTCTTTGCAAGGTTATCAATAACATACAATTCTTGTTGTACTGTCATAACCAATACGGTTATACTGTACCTATGGCTAATAGGCTCAAGTGTAGTAGGTATCGCAAAATATAATCTTTTAATTTTTTATAACATGATATTGTGAACCATCAAAACAATTTTGCGACAATATTAGTTGAAAAACATAATGGTATACAGTTTATTATTCTATATCCTATGTACAATATAGGAATAAACTATTTATGGATTAATAAAATGAATTGTCTGATTAGAAAATCCGGTAATATAACGTGATTGATCGATATTCGATTTTTTAGTAGCTAGGTAGTATAGTTAGGTACTCGAGTAATATTTCATACTAATTATCGACAGTTGATTTTACTCTTAAACTGCTTCGGCGTGTAGTGTATACCTAGATAATGTAACGTAGCTAACATTTGTTGAAGTATTTTAATTTGTAGTTTTACTTAATTGAATCATCAATGTCTGATAAAAATGAAAATATCATGGAGAGTACTCCCAGAACCTACGGGCCAAAGGCGACGGTGGCACAAGTAGTTATCACAATAAACTTTATATTCAAACATTTTTAAAAATAAAACAAACTAATACACTTACAATTAAATATCACAGATTTTCGCTACTATAGCGCAGAGCTTTCTACTAATTGGATTGGGCATGGAAATAGGAATGCCCACAATTGTTATTCAACATTTATATCAAAATCCAGACAGTGAATTCTCTTTAACATTAACTGAAATTTCATGGTATGGTTAGTATAAATAATAAATGTACAGTTTTTGGTAAGTATAACATTTGTAAATAATGGGAATACTCTTTATATGTCGAAAAAAAAAAGGAACATTAGAGTCATTAGAGTCATAATTAGACTACCAAGCGTTTTCCAAGTTATCTATGTGCATTCTATTTGATGTAATTATAATATTATGTGCACTGACATTTCAGATTTCATCAGAACATAAAAATCTTTAAAATTTAAAGATAACCTAAAATAATCAAAAAAAGTTGAGTTTATTAAAAAGAGGTTTGCCTCGTTCTGTTTATCAAATTGAAGATCAGAACACTACAAGTGTAAACCTCAAGTGTCACTAAACGACTTATACAGTCATGTGTCGCTTTTAGATAAAAATGATTGATGGGTATAATATCATAGTTATATGAATATATACTAACAGCTGTTCGCTCGCTAATTCAAATCTTGCACCATACTGTGCCGCAACAAATATATTTACTCAATTTTACATTTATATTTTGCCTACTATGCAGGGAGTATATTGTTCATATTTCATCCGACTGGAAGTTTTCTATCGGGATTCCTGCAAGAAAGGTATGGAAGGAAAAGGTGCATGATTTTCGCCAACGTCCCCAGTATTTTCGGATGGATATTGCTGTACTACACTCACTCCGCGGTTTCACTTTACGCGTCCACCGTGCTGATGGGCTTGAGCATAGGATTTAGCGAAGCCCCGATACTGTCGTACGTCGGCGAAATAACCGAACCGAGACTCAGGGGGTCGATGGCTTCGTTGGCGTGCACCTCGTCTATGCTTGGAATATTGTTGACTTATTTTTTGGGATATTTATTCGAATGGAGGACCGTCGCATTGCTGAGTGCACTTTGCCCGATCACGTGTATATGCCTAGTGATTTTGGTACCTACCTATGTTTGTCATACGCTTCTATGAATAAGTCGTTTTCTTTTTTTTTTACTCAACTGCTGTGTATTTTAATCTTTCGCCTACGCCTGATGCATTGTTAATAGATTCCAGAGTCTCCAGTATGGCTGGTTGCCAAAGGGAAAAACGAAAAAGCCGAAAAAGCCTTACGTTGGTTAAGGGGATGGGTGGAACCCGAAATTGTCAAAGCCGAACACCTTGAACTCATTCGATACAACGAAGTATCTGGAACTCATCGGGGAACCGCCGATGTTAATCGTAACAATTTACTATTGAAATTAGCCCAATTCAAGAATCCGTCGGTATACAGACCCTTCAGACTTATAATGTTTTATTTCCTGATTTCCGATATCGTTAGCAGTGTTCCCTGGAGGGCATTTACCAGTAAAATCATGACAGAAGTTGGTATATTGAATAATCAAAGTTTGCTATTGGTAAATATAGGTACTACGGCTGTATACACATTTTTATAGAAATAATAATAAATATTTATAATGGACTATTTTAAGGTGGTTTTTGCTGTACTTCAAATTATTGGATCTTTGATAGTAGTCTTGACCGTTCATCATCTAGGGAAAAGATTTTTGACTAATTTGACATTTTTTATCAACACTATGTTGCTGTGTTTATTTGGCGCATACATCGTTGCCATGAAGAATAACTACATCAACTCAACTACTTGGATTCCCATATCAATATTATGTGGCATTAACTTTTTCGGAGCTTCAGTCATTATTTTGCCATGGATGTTGCTTAGCGAAGTTTTTCCAAACAAGTAAAGATCATTAATATTATACATCGACTTCTACAAATGTAGTATTCTTAGAAGTATGGCAGTAAGTCAATCGACGAATATGTCGTAAAATCAACAAGTTATGGTGAAATTCAGTGACTTAATTATGGTGGGGGGGGGGGAGGGAAGAATTTAACGGATTGGGTGAGAATGTAGGTAATATTGTTTATTTTTATAATTGCTGTGTAAATTATTTATCTAGTGTATTTCATTGTCTTAATAATCTAATCTAATTCAGTTGATCATGATAATTTTTTTCAGGAGCCGAGGAATCGCAACTGGCTCATCTGCAGGATTAGCTTATTTATTAATATTCATATTAACAAAATCATACATAGCATTGGAGCTTCTATTGACCTTGGAATACACTATGGTTCTCTTTGGTTGTTTGGGCATTTTGGGATCATTCTATTTGTACTTTCATTTACCAGAAACGGAAAATAAAACACTATTAGAAATCGAAGAATTTTTCACATAGAATATATACAAGCTATTTATTTATTATAACTAAACATGTGTTAATAAAATATGTATATATTATTTATTGTTGTTTTTAGATTGCCATAAAATTGATGATTTAAATTTAAAACTATACATTGTATATTTGTATCACGTATTCGACGTACCTACTTAATTAGTCAGTATTATATGTGAGGTATGAAATCTTTTTTTAACTACGAGTCACATCCCGAAAGTAAGAGTACCTACCCAATTTTTGTATTTTTTTAAAAAAATATACAATAAACATTATTGCCTTCATTTTAGCAAACATATTATAGTCATAATAAATATTGTGCAATATCATCGCCTCGAAAGGATAAATGGACAAAACGTTTTGACGGAGCCATTTGGACGTAGGGATGATTTGACTTATAAAAAAATATAATAAATCAATCAATAAAAATATAAATGAAAAAAAAAAAAAAAAAAATAGTTATATTAAATAGTTATCAAACACAGTTATACTTATTCATATTACTTATATTTACTCATATGTACTTTAATACAATTGTAATGAAATTGTTATTTACAATTAGTAAGATATTTTGGGCGGTTCCATGTAAGAATGATACAATTCGTTAAAACGTAATATTCAATTAAAAAACTATAATAAGATAAGATAACCACACCATTCTCATTGATTTTATAATTTATGTGTAAACCAGAATTAAAACATAAGTTTTACTTAGAATCACCCACAATACTTAATTATTAATTTTTACATAATAATTTAATTTTTAATATTTTTAATACTGATTTATTGGGTGTATTTTAATAAATCATTTTTTATGATATTGTCTCTTAATTTTTAATTTTTATTACTTATCAATGATTTAGATTCTGAAAGGAGCAATAAATGTATTGATTTAACAATGATGTGTGTTTTATAATTTTTTTTTTTGTGTCTGTCATCACGGTTTTGGGCAGTAAAAGTGCTTCGATTTTCTTCAACAAAAACTTTTCTGGTAGAAAAGTGAATCTAGTTGGTGCATTCGGGAGGTCAAAATTTAAAATTAACAAAAGTTTTTAATAGGGACAAGAAAGTCGAAAAGTAAAACGGGAATTCTTACTAACACAAAGCCAGTTTTCGAAAACATTGATTTTTGATTTTTTTTCTATAAATGCCAATAAAATTTTATTGGCTGGGTCAAAAAACCTGAATATTTAATACAAGACTCTTGATATAATGTAAAAATAGTAGTTGCAAGATATTAAAAATACTTTGGCAAGATTTTTTTATAAGCGTTTAAAGTTCAAATTTTGACAATATTTATCAAATTGGAAATTGAAAATGATTTTTTAGTTAAAAATGTTTAAAATTTTCAATTTGTATAGGTTAGGATTGAAAATTTAAAACAAGATTCTTTTTTAAGCAGTTTTTTCCTAAAAAATCTAAAAATATACAAACACAGTTATTTTTACAGGCATTTTAAATTCAAATTTGGACAAAATTACATATTAACACAAAGAATAACGTTTATCATTTTGTTGTAATTCAGTTCCAAAAAAGCCCAATTTTACATAGGTATATTTAATATTTTTCCAGTATCACTGATGATTTAGGAATAATATTAATTCAAATTACCGGCTACCATATTAATAATAAGTAATAACAATATAAAATATCGTAGACTGACATACCGTCTCCGCTCAGCATCGTTTTTTGTATAGGTACAATGATATATCATACATTCATACCACTGAATTCAAATTTATTACCATCCATTACAGTGACCTCCTAGACACCTAATGTACAGCAGATTGACATCCACTTACACGTTTTTTATTGATTGGTTTGTTATTTTTTTTCAATACTGACGTAGGTTTGGAATGGATCTGATAAGATAACTTCGCTATTATTAAATAACTAGCCGAGGTTTTACCCAATCTGTGCCCGGGCCGTCAGTCTGTTAGATATTATTAACATTCCTATTTATATGGTTTATTATTATAAATCCATTACAGTGCGACTCTATTAGTTTTTTCTTATTTTTTGTAAAACAATGAGTTACATTTTTATGTATATCGAATCCGTTAGGGCGCGCTAATAGTAACAGCCTTGTATCTTTACTTTCTGCGGCTGGGAGGTATATTTTGTAATTGTAATATCACTCTACGTCAACTCACTAACGCTCCTCCATACATTTCAAATTTAACACTGCACAACGATCTACATGTTAAATCGATCGAAAAGGAATCTGTATTATATTACAAGCGATTCTTCTCAAGTCTGGCAAATCATAATAACCCTCTAATCAGTAACTTAAATACCTTAACACTTCTCATCGTAGACTGAAAAGAAGATGGTGTAGAGATCTTTTACAATGATCAATCGAACTCTTCCTCTCCCCGAGAAAAAAAAAATATATATGAAAATATTTTTACCGTATCTTCCCAAATCTACCATCACGCAAAGAGTTACTAGTAAGTGACATCTTAATCATGTTTTTGTCTCTTTTCACTTATACTTATTATGCTAAGTAGTATAGATTGTATAAATATTATAAAAATAAAAATATAGATTTAATAAACATAAAAAATGACTCCACTACATAGCGATTTCAAATCTTTTACAAAATACCCTCTCTTGATTCCTATCATTCTGTTATTTTTCACATCCCTAAGTCTCTCTCTAATTAAGATAAAAATAAACAATTCCGTCTTTGAATAGGTATTGTCTGTTATTTTGGTCCCCCCTCCTTTTATTATGAAAAAATAATAAACTTTAATGTCTCAAACTTACTTCATACTTATCACAAGTTTTAATATTGTAATACTTAATTTTATTAATAAAAACTGTACAGATTTTTTTTGTACAATTTATTGAAGCAAAATAAAATCATATTATTATATAACAGCTCTATAAATTATTTATTTAAAAAAAAAATACTCATAAAAATATTAAACAAATAAATAACTTTAAGTGTCGTCTATAATATGTATATTCTTTACACTGTTTACGAATTGAACGGTTTAAAGATTATACTTAGTAATGTATCAATTGATTAGAAAAACTGCTAATATTTAATGACGTGTTTAATATCGGTTAATAACAGTTATATAATAATAGTTACTATTTTATAGTAATGACGACAGTTGATTTTTTGTACTTTATTTAATTACTTGCTCGTACCCAGATAGGTGTTTATTTTTTATTTTAAAGTATTGTAGTCCTACTTAAACGATTCATAAATGAAGAATGAAAATGAAAATACTTCGAAAACCTATGGCACAAAAGCCACGGTGGCACAAGTATGTATATCAATATATTATATAACTAGGAATAAATGTATAAAAAGAACTAAAAAAAATGCTACAAAATATTTTGCATTCAAATATTACAGTTTTTTGCTACAATAGCGCAGAGCTTTCTATTAATTGGATTGGGTATGGAAATAGGAATGCCCGTAATTGTTATACAACAATTGTATCAAAATTCAGACAGTGAATTCTCATTAACATTAACTGAAATTTCGTGGTATGGTAAGTATAACAACAATTGAACAGTGTAGAATAGGTAACATATATATATATATATCAAAGTAATTTGAATAAAATATTATAATGTTGATGAAAAAATTATGTTGTTCTAATTTATGACCATCGAAATTGCAGAACATGAAAACAATTTGAAAGTAATAACTAATAAATTGATACAAAGATTTGATGATTTACTTAAATCTGTTCATAAAATTTAAATCGGGACACTTAATAGTTCACGTAACAACTTAAGTAGTTGTACGCGCCTTACGTTAAATGTTTGTAATACAGAATGAATAGAGTGATTCAACAATCGTGATTTTTTCCAAACATTTTTATCGTTCATTGCTGTTTAATAAGTTTTTGCAATTTCAAGACTTGAATAAGTTTCTCCGGCTTTTAAAGAATTTTCTCGTAAGAGACAATTTTGGATGGATCCCGAACCCATACCGATAATAAATGTTTCAGATTACCGTTGTTAATTCAGACGAAAGTACATATTTCGATGTGAAATTCTTGACACGTGATCATTAGCACACAGATTAGTACTTATTTTTTTTTTTTTGCTTGATAAAGGATATGCATAACCGTAAAGTACGACTGTAAGGCGAAGTTAAATATTTATTCAACAATTTCATTAGAGAGTATCATACTCTATATCGCCAGGTGCGCTATATGATTTCCATACAACATTTTCAAAAAAATGCATTTGAAAAAGTAATTATAAAAACAAATGGTTGTCTTTGAAATTTAGATTGTTAAAAAAGACTATAAAAATAGTAATTGAAATTCGAATATTTTCAAATATCATGCTCCTTAAGAATAAACTTAAAAATATCGAAAATCAGAATTTGAAGACATAAAAGGTGGGGCAAATATAATATTTGCAGTAAATCAAAACACGTCATATTTAACTACATTTGTACTGCACAATGCGCATAGTATATAGATCAAAGTCATATCATTGCTTCAACTTTTATGATTAAAGGGAGCTTATTATGTATATTTCATCCGGTCGGAAGTGTTCTTTCGGGATTCCTGCTGGAAAGGTTTGGAAGAAAACGATGCATGATTATCGCCAACTTCCCAAGTATTTTCGGATGGATTTTACTATACAACACTCACTCCGTGGTTTCTCTATACGCGTCGACTGTACTGATGGGCTTGAGCATAGGTTTCAGTGAAGCTCCGATATTTTCTTACGTCGGCGAGATAACCGAACCTAGGCTCAGGGGAGCGATGGCTTCTTTGACGTCCACAGCTCCCACGTTTGGAGTATTGATTTTATTCACTTTGGGATATTTCTTTGAATGGCAAACTGCCGCATTGCTGAGTACACTTTGTCCGATCACTAGTATATGCCTTGTCATGTTGGTATGTTTTAAGTATATTTTATAATCTCTAGTTTTGATTTATTTTTACGTATATTGAAATCGCATAATATCAGTCCCCATTTTGTTTTTAGATCCCAGAATCACCTATATGGTTGGTTGCTAAAGGAAAAAACGAAAAAGCCAAAAAGGCTTTGTGTTGGCTAAGAGGATGGGTGAAACCTGAAGTGGTCAAAATGGAGTACCTCGAACTCCTCCAGTATAACGAAGTATCTGGAACTCAACGGTTAACTCGTGATGTTAATCATAAAAATCTATTTTCAAAATTAGCCCAATTTAAGGAGCCGTCGGTGTACAGACCTCTTAGACTAATCATATTTTATTTCTTCACTTCTATTATCATTAGCGGTATACTTTGGAGACCGTTTATTGGTAAGATCATGACAGAAGTCGGCTTATTAAATAATCAAAGTTTACTACTGGTAAATATATCACAACTATATTATTATTCATTATAAATACTAAAAGGTACAATAATGTTAATTTTTTTTAAATTATTTGTAGGTTGTCTTCGCTGTACTACAAAATAGCTCATGCATGATTGTAGTCTCCACCGTCCATTATCTAGGGAAAAGGTTTTTGACTAATTTGACGTTTTCAGTCAACACATTATTGATGTTTCTATTCGGAATTTACATTATTGCCATAAGGAATAACTATATCTATTCAACTCCTTGGATTCCTATAACTATATTATGTGGAATTTACTTTTTTGGAGCTGCAATTGTTATTTTGCCATGGATGTTATTAAGCGAAGTTTTTCCGAACAAGTAGGTACAGCCAATAACAAATTTAATATCACACGGGTATTAGTATGCCTACTTATGTTTAGGACTATATTTATAATAGCAACTAATCGACTTTAACTTAAAGGAGCACACAACACAAAATAAGTTTTTTTTATTTGAAAGAATGTTCAATTCTAAGGATAATGGTATGGGTTTTACGTTTCTACTCACATTATTCAATAAGTTATGAGCAATTGAAAAAAGACGTGTAACGTCACTGGGCAGGAGTCATCGTAATTGCCTATCCTTTACGTGTAAAAGTTCCTCGCTTCACACAACGATTTATCAACCTAAACATTTTCTTTTTAATATTTAATTGACGTATAAATGTGAGGTTTTATGTGATTAAGACGATGCAAGAATCAGAATTTCAATATGACGTTTAGTTTTTTAAGTATTAAAAATCTTAAAACAGACATTTTGGATAAACCGCACGTCATGGCGAGCGACGCGCGGAGTTCGAAAAACGGGTCAGCCGTTATCCAAAATGTCTGTTTTAAGATTTTTAATACTTAAAAAACTAAACGTCATATTGAAATTCTGATTCTTGCATCGTCTTAAACACATAAAACCTCACATTTATACGTCAATTAAATTTTAAAAAGAAAATGTTTAGGTTGATAAATCGTTGTGTGAAGCAAGGAACTTTTACACGTATAAGATAGGCAATTACGATGACTCCGGCCCAGTGACGTCACGCGGATATTCTACATCTCTTAATATCTCTTAAAGTTATATTTTTTTTTTACATCGTATCTTCACAAAATCATTTCATATAACCATATCTACAATAATTTAGCATTTAAAAAAAATTTAAAAAATTTTTTTATTTGTGTTTTGTGCTCCTTTAGACAAACTCGATAGGTCAGTTGTCAATCCAGTACCTACTTGCTTTCCGAGAAAAGTTGAGTTATACAGCTAGTAGTAACCTAAATTACTTCTTTAGTATCATCGATAAGTATTTAGATATAAAATAAACTCATCCCGGGCTGCATGAAAAATTAATTAATTTAATGGTTCAATAAAACTTAACGCACCAATTAAGAGCCCGCTAAAATACTAAATCATGTTTAAGTTACCATATTTCTATACTATATTGATTTATTAAATGTTTAGTGATAGTACGTGTAATCCGAGTACCACACAATACTCATACAAGCTTGCTGACAGTCTTCCTCAAAATTGTTTTACGTATATTTACTATGATCTTAAATCATTGAATTCGAATTTGAAATATCCGTTATAGACAGTAGAGTCCCCCACAAATGTACCTAGGACAACTGATGTAAAGCAGAGCAGTAACCACTTTTCAACCTTCTTTAAAATTTTTTGTAAGCTATATTAAAATTGTAATTTTAACATAAATATGTTTTTGGGCTGGATACACGTTTATTTGTTTCCGACAAAATTTTAGTAATATGTTTTCCAGGTTATGATTACTAATATTAAATTCGTAAGACATATTTATGATTCATAGAATTTTCTTGCAAGGGAAAAATATCTAATTTTATTCATTCGTTTATTAAGTACCTATACCGTATACAATAACAATATTAGTTATATATTATAAACCATAAAAGTTCAACCAAACAGTGCTTGGAGTAATAATTTATATTTTACTGCTTATTATAAAAAACTAAAAATAGTGGTAGTACAACTATTTAGTACTTAGGTACCAACTCTACTAAAAATAATTTTTCATTTTATGTACACATTACACAATTGTTATAGGTAACGACTAACGACGGTAACGTAATAGCAGAAATAAATAGGTACCGATTTGATTTAATTTAATTTGCTCTGTAGAATTTAATTAATTAAATACAATCGGAGCTCAGCAAGAATTGTTTTGTGGTATCTAGAGACCCAACATAATAATTATTATCCCATAACCGTTAATATAATAGACTAATATTCCCAGTCAAGTGTCACTAAAGAGGGAATTCCTTGACTCGTATTCAAAATTTTAATCTTAATTTTAATCTCTCATCACGTTTACAAGGGTATTGGGCTCAAAAGTACAGTTTGTGTATCTATTTCTTACTGTAAAAAATGCATAATAGACTAGCTGTTATCAACACATTAAGTCAATGATAATATTAGGTATATAAATTATAAAACGAAATCAACACAATAAAAATCTAAACATTAGAGTAATTATTACTCTTATTCAATAGGTAATATTATGTGAAGAATATTAGGTCTTGAAATGTTGGAACGAAATAAAGTTTGGATGCCAACGACCATACCACGTTGAATACACCAGTTCTCGTCCGATCACTGAAGTTAAGCAACGTCGGGCGTAGTTAGTACTTGGATGGGTGACCGCTTGGGAACACTACGTGCCGTTGGCATTTTTTTATTTCATGTATATTTGATATTTTTTTTCATATGTTTAACCATGCATAAACGTAAATCTTACTATATACTAGCTATATACTTATATATATAATACTGTGCATCGGGTTTCTTTATTTTGAATTGTAATAATCTCTAATATTAGACTCTAATAATGAATAGTTAATATAATTTATATTCTTTTTTTTTATCGTAGTTCAAAATTATTTTGATATTTAATAATTGCCGACAGTTATTTACACTTACTCGTCAAAATATAATACCGTGTACCTATCCAACTATTTTTAATTGAATATAATTACCTATAATAATTACTGTATATTTTAGTTTTTGAATTATATCAATAATTATACTAATTAGGTAGTATGTCTTTGGTTCATACAACATAATACAATATTATTGAATTTAATTAAATACAATTTTTATTACAGAAGTCGAGGAATCGCAACTGGATTAACTGCAGGATTGACATATTTACAAATATTCATTTTAACAAAATCATACTTAACAGTAGAGACCCTCTTAACCTTGGAATACACGATGGTTTTCTTTGGTTGTTTTGGCATTCTTGGATCACTCTACTTCTACTTTTATTTACCAGAAACAGAAAATAAAACATTGTTAGAAATCGAAGAATCTTTTACATGAATACAAAATAATTTAATTTTAAGACCACTATATCTAAACCATAAGTAACTATTAAGCTACCTTACAAAATAATGGTACATCAATTTTGAAATTTTACCATAAGCCACAAAATTACCCCATCTATTACCCGGTTTAAGGTTGTTTTACTACCATGTAACTATTAAATGACATTCTAGTTTATTATTTTAAGAGTTTTAAAAATTAATAAGATCATCATATACCTATGTGTCGTAATATAATGTGTTTTGAAATTTATTAAAATTATAAAAATTAATTTTTTACTTTTTTTTTCTTATAAAATATTGCAAAGTATCAAGTATGACGGACTTTATAATATAATGATTGAGACTTAGATGGAGTCGTTGTTCATTCTTCACACTTCATAGACTTCAACAACAACGGATCGTTTGAAGTTTGTCAATGATAATATTGAAAATACCTGGAAATGTTTCATATCCTTTTTGATACATCTAATCTCTATTAAACATTTCTTTGCAATAGGTTATTAATACAATCCAAAATTTATGAAATTTTTCCTTATACCCATATTTTTTTTTTTATTCTTCGTGGAGATATGAGGTAATAGGTTCCAATAATCTTGTCCACGCAGGCAAAGTGTATGAATTTAATCAAGCAATGGAATAAAATGTATTGGTTCCTTTAAAAAATCTTCAATAAGCCAACAATAATTCATGTGAAAAACTTGGTGTGTTGGTCTGAATTCGTCCGAACTAACTTATAGTAGCCATTAATACGTACCAACGTGAAAATATGAATAGACGTATTATATATTGATAAATAGAAGTGTTTCATGCAACTGTTGATGCATCCAATCTCTATTAAACATTTCTTTGCAAGGTTATCAATAACATAAAATTCTGGTTGTACTGTTATAAATAATACGGTTATACTGTACCTAATAGCTCATAAGCTCAAGTGAAGTAAGTATCATAAAATATAATCTTTTAATCTTTTATAATATGATATTGTGAACCATCAAAACAATTTTACGACAATATTAGTTGAAAAACATAATGGTATACAGTTTATTATTCTATATTCTAAATACGATGTAGGAATAAACTATTTATGGATTAATACAATGAATTGTCTGATTAGAAAATCCGGTAATATAACGTGATTGATCGATATTCAATTTTTTAGTGGCTAGGTAGTATAGTTAGGTACTCGAGTAATATTTCATACTAATTATCGACCGTTGATTTTACACTTAAAATGTTTCGGCGTGTAGTGTATACCTAGGTAATGTAACGTAACTAACATTTGTTAAAGTATTTTAATTTGTAGTTTTACTTAATTGAATCATCAATGTCTGATAAAAATGAAAATATCATGGAGAGTACTCCCAGAACCTACGGGCCAAAGGCGACGGTGCCACAAGTAGTTTTCACAATAAACTTTATATTCAAACATTTTTAAAAATAAAACAAACTTCCACACATCCAATGAAATATCATAGATTTTCGCTACTACGGCGCAGAGTTTTCTACTAATTGGATTGGGCATGGAATAGGAATGCCCACAATTATTAATTATAATAAAATTGATTCAACATTTATATCAAAATCCACACAGTGACGTCTCTTAACATTAACAGAAAGTTGTGTGTATGGTCAGTATAAATGATAAATATACGGTTGTTGGTAAGTAAAACATTTGTAAATAATGGGAATACTCTTTATGTTGTAAATAGAGGAATATTAGAACCACCAAGCGTTTTCTAACTCAAAATCATTAATTTATTCTAAAATATTGAACTCCTTCGAGTCTTTCTTGTCTACTTGGCATTTATAAATTTCTCTCTTTACATCACATGTGTTAACAACTAGTTGTTGTAGTAATAACGCATCGACATCACCGATACGTTAAGTACAAGTGCAGCCACATTGTAGTTTCAATGTTGATTCTACTTGATGTAATTAGTAATTACTAATTATAATATTATGTGCACTGAGATTTCAGATTTCATCTGGATATGAAAATCTTTAAAATTAAAAGATAACCTAAAAATATCAACAAAAAAAAGTTGAGTTTATTAAAGAGCTATATAGGTTTGCCTATTGTTCTGTTCATCAAACTGAAAATCAGAACACTATTATATACAGTGTACACCTCAAGTGTTACTAAATATTTTACACGACTTATACAGTTATGTGTCGTATTTTAAATAAAAATGATTGCGGAGTATAATATCATAGTATATCATTAATATACTAACTGCTGTTTGCCCGTTAATTCAAATCTCCCATCACACTTTGAGGCAACAAATATATTTACTCAATTTTACTTTTATATTTTCACTATTATGGAGGGAGTATATTATTCATATTTCATCCGACTGGAAGTTTTCCATCGGGATTCCCGCAAAAAAGGTATGGAAGGAAGAAGTGCATGATTTTCGCCAACGTTCCCAGTATTTTCGGATGGATATTACTGTACAAGGTACAACACACAATCCGCGGTTGCACTTTACGCGTCTACCGTGCTGATGGCCATGGAGAATAACTATATCAACTCAACTACTTGGATTCCCATAACAATATTAGGTATGTGGCATGAAACTGTACAGATTTTAATTAATATATTGAAGCTAAATAAAGTCAAGCAATAGCTCTATAAAATATTTATTCAAAGAAAAAATACACACTCATAAAAATGTTAAACAAATAAACATTTTAAGGTGTATCTATAGTTTATGCTATTCATGTCTTTTACAATGTTTACCAATTAAACGATTTAAAGATTATACTTAGTAATGTATCGATTGATTAGAAAAACTGCCGATATTTATAATGACGTATTTAATATCGATTAGTAACTATTTTTTAGTACCTAATATCGACAGTTGATTTTTAGTATTTAACTCAATTAGTAGCTCGTACCCAGATAGGCATTTATTTATTTATTTATTGTGTATTGTAGTCCTACTTAAACGACTCATAAATGAAGAATAAAAATGAAAATACTTCGAAAACTTATGGCACAAAAGCCACGGTGGCACAAGTATGTACAACAATATTTTATTATTATGCTTAAAAGTATAAAAAGAACTAAAAAAATGCTACAACATATTTTGCATTCAAATATTGTAGATTTTTGCTACAATAGCGCAGAGTTTTCTATTAATTGGATTGGGTATGGAACTAGGAATGCCCGTAATTGTTATACAACAATTGTATCAAAATTCAGACAGTGAATTCTCATTAACATTAACTGAAATTTCGTGGTATGGTAAGTATAACAACACTTGAACAGTGTAGAATAGGTAACATATATATATATCAAAGTAACGGAAATAATATAATAATGTTGATGAAAAAATTGAATTGTTCTAATTTATGAGCATCGGGATTGCAGAACATGAAAACAATTTGAAAGTAATAACTAATAAATTGATGCAAAGATTTAATGATTTGCTTAAATCTGTTCATTAAACATAAATGGGAATACTTCACGTCAAAGGCTCAAGTAGTGCCAGTAGTGGTACGCGCCTTACGTCGATGTGTGTCATACAGAGTGATTTAACAATCCAACCATTTTTTCAGTTCATTGCTGTTTCCTTAGTAGTTGCAATTTCAATTAGACTTGAATAAGTTACTCTAGATTTTGATACATTTTTTTTTAAAATTTCGAGACAATTTTGGATCGGTCCCGAACCCATACCGATAATTAATGACTCAGATTACCGTGGTTCATTCCGACGAACGTACATATTTCGATGTAAGATTCTTGACATGTGCAACCCATTTTCACACAGATAAGTCCTATCTTTTTTTTTTGGTTGAAAAATGGTATGCCTAGCCGTAAAGTACGACTGTTAGGCGTAGTTAAATATTTGTTCAACATTTCCATTACTTTATCATACTCTATATCGTTCGGTGTACTATGGGAACATAATATAAACTAAATAGAACTTAATGAATTTGTTCATTGACCGACGATAAAAATATGGCTCTCTGTTATGGACCCTTATATGTTTTTATAATATACAGAATGATTCAACAATCATGATCACTCATAATTTTCATTTGGTACTGATTTTATCACAATTCTGATTTTAAAACACCAAATACTCAAATTCTTAGATTTTTTACACCATTTAAATATTATGTTGTGTTGATAAAAACATGTACTAAATAACTACCACACTTTTATACTGTAAATTAATCAATTTTAAAAATTATTTATGTGGATAAATATATATTTAAAGGAGTAGTTTCTGAATTATTAAAATTGATATAAAATATAATTGTAGCATTAACATGTTATAATAATTTAATAAATGGCTACTTAACTGAATATAATACATACCTACCTATTTTATATTTTATCGAAGACTAGTATTAAAAATGATTATTCATGGTAAATTTAAAACTAAATATTAATTTAAATTACATGCTGTACAGGGCCATATTGATCTATATTAAATGTGCAATGTATTTAAGATACTTAAATGTATAAGGTTTAATATTATGTATTGCTTAAAATCACTTCGTAAATAAGCCATTATTTCTCGAATAAAGTAAAGAATAAAAAATGGTTATTGTGAGTTATCCCTGAGAGATAGACAGAATATGCCATCGCGGACTTTTACGTAGACCTTTTAAAGGTCAGTACAATAATGTAGAACATTATTTTGATATATCTCTTAGGGTTCAGGCAGCGTTTGCAACGCAAGCGCAACAAATATGATTATTTACGACATCGCATTCGAAACCTTAAAATATATCAGTGTTTCTCAATTATATTATGCATGTTATATACATATAAACCTTCCCCTTGAATCAATTTGACAATTAAAAAAACCTACATCTAAATCCGTTGGGTAGTTTTAAAGATCTAAGGAAACACATCGATAGGCAGGCAGCGGAAGAACGACTTTGTTTTATACTGTGTAGTGATGATAGTGACAGTGACGAATAAAAAGTGGAAAAATGTTCCAGAGGGGACCCTCCGTATAGCTCTAAACGTTCCTTATATAATTTTATGTATAGTGTCTAATGTGTAAAATCTTAATTTGTTAGAGGGGACGCTTTTTAACCTACCAACCAAATCCCCGGTCCTCTTGCGATGGGGGGAGCGGGCCCCACTTTAACCACTGGATGAATATAATATTATGTACAGTAAATCAAAAAACACGTCATATTCCAACTACATTCGTACAGCACATACGATTCCGATCAAGGTCATTTAATTTCTTTAACTTGTATTATTATAGGGAGTTTATTATGTATATTTCATCCGGCCGGAAGTGTTCTTTCGGGATTACTGCAGGAAAGATTTGGAAGAAAACGATGCATGATTATCGCCAACTTCCCGAGTATTTTCGGATGGATTTTACTATACTACACTCACTCCGTGGTTTCTCTTTACGCGTCGACTGTAATGATGGGCTTGAGCATAGGTTTCAGTGAAGCTCCGATATTTTCTTACGTCGGCGAGATAACCGAACCTAGGCTCAGGGGAGCGATGGCTTCGTTGACGTCTACAGCTCCTATGTTCGGAGGATCGTTTTTATTCACTTTGGGATATTTCTTTGAATGGCGAACCGTCGCATTGCTGAGTACACTTTGTCCGATCACTAGTATATGCGTTGTCATGTTGGTATGTTCTTAGAATATTTAATAATATTTTGTATTGTTTTATTTTTACTCATATTTAAATTGTATATCGGTCCCCATTTTTTTATTAGATTCCAGAGTCACCTATATGGTTGGTTTCTAAAGGAGAAAATGAAAAAGCCGAAAAGGCCTTGTGTTGGCTAAGAGGATGGGTGAAACCTGAAGTGGTAAAAATGGAATATCTCGAACTCGTCCGGTATAATGAAGTATCTGGAACTCAACGGTTAGCTCGTGACGCTAATCACAAAAATCTATTTTCAAAATTAGCCCAATTTAAGGAGCCGTCGGTGTACAGACCTCTTAGACTAATCATATTTTATTTCTTCACTTCTATTATCATGGGCAGTATACCTTGGAAACCGTTTATTGGTAAGATCATGACAGAAGTTGGCTTATTGAATAATCAAAGTTTACTACTGGTAAATATATTACTATACTGTATAATTGTTTATTATAAACACCAAAAGGAACAATAATGTTTATTTTTTTAAAATTATTTGTAGGTTGTTTTCGCTGTACTACAAAATATCTCATGTATGATTGTAGTCTCCGCCGTCCATTATCTAGGGAAAAGGTTTTTGACTAATTTGACATTTTCAGTCAACACATTATTGATGTTTCTATTCGGAATTTACATTATTGCCATGAAGAATAACTATATCTGTTCAACTCCTTGGATTCCTATAACTATATTATGTGGAATTTCCTTTTTTGGGGCAGCAATTATTATTTTGCCATGGATGTTATTAAGCGAAGTTTTTCCGAACAAGTAGGTACAGCCAATAACAAATTTAATATCACACGGGTATAAGGTATTAGTATGCCTACTTATGTTTAGGACTATAATTATAATAGCAACTAATCGACTTTAACTTAAACAAACTCAATAGGTCAGTTGTCAATCCAGTACCTACTTGCTTTCCAAGAAAAGTTGAGTTATACAGCTAGTAGTAACCTAAATTACTTCTTTAGTATCATCGATAGGTATTTAGATATAAAATAAACTCATGCACGGGCTGCATGCAAAATTAATTAATTCAATGGTAATTTCAATTTCCTTTTTTTTGTTTCTGACAGATTTTTAGTAATATGTTTTCCAGGTTATAATTACTAATATTAATTTCGTAAGACATATTTATAGTTCATAGAATTTTCTTGCAAGGGAAAAATATCAAGTAGCGATGATAGTACTAATTGTATTCATTAGTTTATTAAGTATACCGTATTCATTAACAATACTAGTTATATATTATAAACCATAAAAGTTCAACTAAACAGTGCTTGGAATAATAAATTATTGTTTATTATAAAAAACTAAAAATAGTGGTAGTACAACTATTTAGGACTTAGGTACCAACTCTACTAAAAATAATGTTTCATTTTATGTACACATTACACAATTGTTATAGGTAACGACTAACGACGGTAACGTAATAGCAGAAATAAATAGGTACCGATTTGATTTAATTTAATTTGCTCTGTAGAATTTAATTAATTAAATACAATCGGAGCTCAGCAAGAATTGTTTTGTGGTATCTAGAGACCCAACATAATAATTATTATCCCATAACCGTTAATATAATAGACTAATATTCCCAGACAAGTGTCACTAAAGAGGGAATTCCTTGACTCGTATTCAAAATTTTAATCTTAATTTTAATCTCTCATCACGTTTACAAGGGTATTGGGCTCAAAAGTACAGTTTGTGTATCTATTTCTTACTGTAAAAAATGCATAATAGACTAGCTGTTATCAACACATTAAGTCAATGATAATATTAGGTATATAAATTATAAAACGAAATCAACACAATAAAAATCTAAACATTAGAGTAATTATTACTCTTATTCAATAGGTAATATTATGTGAAGAATATTAGGTCTTGAAATGTTGGAACAAAATAAAGTAAAAATGCCAACGACCATACCACGTTGAATACACCAGTTCTCGTCCGATCACTGAAGTTAAGCAACGTCGGGCGTAGTTAGTACTTGGATGGGTGACCGCTTGGGAACACTACGTGCCGTTGGCATTTTTTTATTTCATGTATATTTGATATTTTTTTTCATATGTTTAACCATGCATAAACGTAAATCTTACAATATACTAGCTATATACTTATATATATAATACTGTGCATCGGGTTTCTTTATTTTGAATTGTAATAATCTCTAATATTAGACTCTAATAATGAATAGTTAATATAATTTATATTCTTTTTTTTTATCGTAGTTCAAAATTATTTTGATATTTAATAATTGCCGACAGTTATTTACACTTACTCGTCAAAATATAATACCGTGTACCTATCCAACTATTTTTAATTGAATATAATTACCTATAATAATTACTGTATATTTTAGTTTTTGAATTATATCAATAATTATACTAATTAGGTAGTATGTCTTTGGTTCATACAACATAATACAATATTATTGAATTTAATTAAATACAATTTTTATTACAGAAGTCGAGGAATCGCAACTGGATTAACTGCAGGATTGACATATTTACAAATATTCATTTTAACAAAATCATACTTAACAGTAGAGACCCTCTTAACCTTGGAATACACGATGGTTTTCTTTGGTTGTTTTGGCATTCTTGGATCACTCTACTTCTACTTTTATTTACCAGAAACAGAAAATAAAACATTGTTAGAAATCGAAGAATTTTTTACATAAATACTTAATGATTTATTTTTAAGAAAGGGGGGACTTATGTTTGTCCCCCATACTATAAAAAGGTGAAAAACATACCTACAGACATTTGTTTTTTTTTTAATTTCCATGTACACTTTTATCCATTGTCATAAATAATGTATAGATTATCTATGTACATTGAGAAAACTCCAAACGGCAATAACACACTAAACCTATCACATTCTGCAAAACTTTAGCCGAACCAACTCTGTTTTATTGCTTTTAATTTTAGAGTGAACTCATCCATTACCTACAGTATTATCGAACTTTAAGTTAAGAACGTTACCTGCAGGACACAATTGTTCTACGTTGGCTATTTTACGTTGGAATTTGTATGCAATTTTTTTTTTTTTTTTTAATTGATTGAAAAAGAAATTTAATACAAATTATTTTTAAACAAATATAACATTTTCGATTATCTATTTCCTTTAAGCAGTTTAAGCTGGGCTAGTGTTGGAGATTGGAAAGATAGTTATATAACTTTATAAGCATGTAAATTATTACAACTGTTTAAAAATGCTTATAAATTGTATAAAAATCAAAATATCCTATAAAAGCTTATGTAGGGACACGGGTATTATTCTTAGCTTAATATTTGATATTAAGTGAATTCATTATTTCACTCTAATATTGAAACTATAAACCCAGAGTGGCAGAGGCCAGAGTTCAAGGGTTGGTTCCACTAAACATAAATTTTTTGTTGTGTGTGGGTCAGAGAGAGAAAACAAATGGCGCTCTGACATCATTTTAAGAAGACTGTTTGTTTTCTCTCTCGTTCTCACGTGCAACAGACAAACCGCATTTAGGCAAAATCATTTTTTTAATGAGTTCGAGAAATCTTAGAGTTTAATAGCCCATACCAAAAATACCATTATTTTTTAGGGTATAACTATCAGTTTGTCTAATTATTGTCTAAAAACAATTTAAACATTATATAAATATACAACATTTTTTCTAATTTTTAAAGTCAAATACCTAATAATAAAATATAAAACCGACGTGTCAAACCCTTACAAATATTATTCACTATCATTTTTGTAATAGGTGATTTTATTCAAAAATCATTAAAAGCGATTTTAGGTAAAAGTGTCATATTCATGTTGATCGTGAGTGTGAAAGAAAACAAATAGTGCTCTGGCATCATGAAGTTAATTTTGTTAGCAAGCATAGACATAAGACATATTATAAAACAACTAGATAGCGGACTGCATATACATTCCCACAGGAACGTTGAAGTCTTGCGGCCATAATATGTCAAGAGGGCAATGTTTACAAAATAACTCAATGGATAATATACCTATGCATATTTATATGGTACATCGTATATTATAATAATTATTATGTATATTATCAACCATGCAATTTTTCCCGGTTTGCATATGGCTGCCCGACTTCAATATCCAATAATCCTGTAGTTGGCTATCAAGTTGTCTTGTATGTCAGCTTATTGTTCTGTGATGTCAGTAAGCCAGTTTTTTGTTATCGGTTAACCGTTAGAATGTCATATTCTAACGGTTTATGTATGTAATCACATATAATCACATTTGTTATCAGAAGAAACGTTATCAAACTTAGACCTTTTGTAGTTTTGTCACAGTATAGAATAATTTTTTAACTTTCTGCTTAATACTTCTAGTTTGTTCTAACTTCTGAGTAGTTTCCGTAAATCGTGATAGAATTTTCAAATACTAAGTACTAAATTATAATGTTAAATATTATTTTTAAATGAGGTCGCATTTCAAGTACGAAAAAAATTGAAAACCATCTTTTTTGCTAATACTCACATCATGTCATTGTTCTCTCGAATTTATCGTTTATTTACCGTCTAGTCTTCGCTACTTCAAACTGTGTACGATTGCATTAGATTTATTACCTATGTATTCTTCGTCTTGAACGTGTTTGAAAGATATCTGATGCAATGGTTCGACTGAAGTTGTCGTGTCTGTTTCTGTGCGTTATCGGGTTCTCAATTGTTACACTGCTATGCTTGTATCTCCCCGACAAGCCGATTGCGTATAACATTGGTAGGTTGTCAGCCCTTAATGCCAGTATTTTACTTGGCAGCCATTCGGTTCAACTGTTTCAGACCAAGTAAGACATATTACACAACATTGCAAGTGCAACGCATGTTGATTTTACATACCTAACATAATAATTAACCACCATAAATCTTTACATTTTAAGTGACTTGTATCGCTTATTTATATCCATATGCTAACATTTTATTGTCTGCAGGAAAAATGAAGAAGTGGTTATAGCTGTAGTGATTTGTGGAAATCGTACGTCCGAAGCACTAGTTATGATTAAATCAGCAATCGTCTTCCGAGGTAATTCAGATCTGAGAATTGTTGTGATTGCTGAAAAAAACATTCAACAAGAATTTGATGAAACTGTGAGTATTGTTAGGTATATTACTGTCATACAAAATTCAAAATGTATATATTATTATATTCATGTATATGTATCGTTTATGGATCTTGTTTTAGTTACGCGATTGGAGGCTATTGACTAATGATTCATTTTCGTACGAGATACATAGTATTATCTTTCCTAAAGAACATTCTGATGAATGGAGAAAACTATTTCAGCCATGCGCATCTGAACGTCTTTTTTTGCCAGTAAATATGGTTCAAATCAATGTGTTAATATAATATATATATAGCATTTGTAATTATTTTTCCATTTAAAATTTCAGACAGTTTTAAATCATTTAGACTCAATTCTCTACGTAGACACTGATACCTTATTCTTAAGCAGCGTGGAAGATGTATGGAAACATTTTTCTAAAATGAATTCTTCCCAATTGGCTGCAATGGTACCGGAACATGAAGACATGAATGTTGGGTGGTACAATAGATTTGCCAATCATCCATATTATGGAAAATTAGGTTAGTGTCTGTATAAAATGTGTAGCCAAATAATATTATACATAATATACACTTTAGGATTGAATTCTGGTGTAATGTTAATGAATCTCACCCGTATGAGAGAATTTGATTGGATAAGTCGACTAGCGCCTGTCTTGGAAAAATATAGACTATACCTGACTTGGGGAGATCAAGATATTATAAATGTGATTTTTCACGATCATCCAGGTAAAGCTATCATGAAACAATTGTTTAGTATATTTTTAACATGATTGTTATGACTTATTTTAGATAAGGTTTATGTATATCCGTGTCGATATAATTATCGCTCTGATCATTGTATGTATATGAGCAACTGCAAGTCAGCTGAAGAGGATGGAGTAGCAGTACTTCATGGATCCCGGTCTACGTTTCAGACTAACAAACAACCTGCATTCCGAGCATTATTTAATGCTATGTCCCAAGTATAGGCTACTTCAAAATCATTATAAAATATGTTGGTTTGTTAAAATAAATTTTATTTTACAGTATCAACTTGGGAGTGATCCGGTTAAATATCTCTTGGAGGCATCTGCCAGTCTGCTGAATGAGACTACATCAACCAATTGCGGACGTCTTGCTCCCATATTTACACACAATATGAGACTCATGTTTCAAACAGTATGACAAAGTCAATATACATACATTATTTGTGGTATCAACATAAAAGTGACTAATCACTTTTTAAGCTGATACTTATATTTTTGTATTATGATTTTTAAAACTAAATCTATATTTATTTGAAATGATTAAGTTAAATATGTGAAACGTAAAACCAAATAAGATCTCAAATAATTTAAATATTTTGCTATTGATATAACTTGATATTTTATTTTTAGTTAAAACATGATTTAAAATTACTTTTATCATATTTTCTACTAGTAGATCTAATTGATACCAAATGATCTACTTAATGCCCCATTATGACGTTAGTACCAAATTCAGAAATGTTTTAGTCTTATAATATTTTTATTTTTGTTAAAACTATATACATTTATTTACTAGACATATTTTAGTACCTATGTATTTATGCATACATTTTATTTTTACTAACTGGACTTCTTTAAGTATTTCCTAGTTTATTATTTATATTATAATCACAATTTGTTTTTGAAGTATCAATTACTTTTTTGATTTTCAAAATCAAATAAGAATTTTTTTTTTCATAAAATCTCTTAATGATTCTCGAAATTTGTATTGTATTTATTAATTACTTACCTTAATCTGTGATAAATAATTTTATATTGTACATTTTTAGTAAAAAAAAGTCTATTACGTATAATATTGTATTTTTACTAACACGTCTTTATTAGTTAATAGTTAATTTCAATTAATTTTAATATTTTTCAAAAAAATGTATAAGTACCAAAATATTTTTTGTTATTAAATAATAAATTTAATTGAGTTATAATTAATTTTATTTAGATCCATCTATCCTACCTGATTTACCATTGCTAAGATTTGTTTTTCGTACTTCATGGATTATAACTGGTTTTAATTTTTAATTTTAAAAGAATATGAATAATATAAGTAATGTAAGAGTACATAAAACTATCTTTCCCTAGATGTGAACCATAACTAATATTTAATCTTATGTTACTTATATCATATTCATTTTAGATTTAAATTTGTTTAAGATAAAAAATGTACTACAATTAATAGTTTGATATTATTACTTAAAATCATATAAAACAATGATGGTTATTACTAAACAGTAAAGTGTTAATATTTTCAATATAATTTTCAAGATTCTATGAAAAGTATAGAATACCTGATGTAATTGGTTGTGAAAGACTGAATTCACTACCAATAGTGCCTCCTAATGCATATAACCAACTTTGTTTAAATCATATATTGTGTGTAAATAGAAAAGGATACCATAACATTGAAACTCAATGATAAGTCAGTAATTCTGATAATAATAATTACTCTTAAAACACTAACCATTGAAGTTTAAATTTGTGTACATACCTATTTAATTTTTCTAGTTTCTTTATGTTAAAATAAAAATGTGGAACGTCTTACTTCTACATTTATTACCATATATTACTTAACCAAAAATAGTCAAACGGATGAAATATAATAAAGAATAACCAATTCTATAAAATATAAAAATAATGTTGACATTTTTTCATCTAATAATACTCAATTAAATAGATTAGGTACTTCCTTCTCCTCCACCAATTTGTATTTGACTTTTCTTTAACTTAATGTTTTTAGAATTTTTATTGGACTTCATATGAATCCAAAATAGTCATTATTTTTATTAGAATACAATAAAATTCAGTAGGTATAAAATTAACAATGATTTTTTAATTAAACTTACTTTTTTCTACTTTTCTGCATTTTTATTAGCACCGATTATACTATAAAATTCCATAACGACTTAATTCCTTAGCATATTTGCCTGTTAAAGTGTAACAATTGGACCAAATTTTCATTTTTGAAGCTCAGGGTGATCTTCTATAAATTTGACCAGCCCATATTTTTGTTCTGCTGATACTTAATTTCCTTAACAATTTTTGTATACTTTCTTCATATTATTTTGATTATATAAGAGTAGGTACCTAAGTACACGACTAGCATGTTTGACACGTTTGAAATGTTTAGTAATTGTTTTTTCAAGTACTTACGGGTAGTTAACGCCATTGTAACAATCACATTATCTGTGGACTGTGGTCCGTAAATAATTGTTCTCAGCCGAATAAATTATTATTTCATGGAATAATTACCAATTAAGTGATACGATTTTTATAATTAAAAACATGAAGACTAGAGGATAGATTAAAGAGACCAAACTAATAATGCCATACAACAGCCCGCATATAATAAAAGTCTTGTAACGAGTTGGGTTGCGTGTTAAACGTATTATTTATGATTAGCATTTAGCAATGAATAGCGGTGCATTTGCAATTAACGTTTGGTAAACTGAAACTGAAAGCCAACGTGGCCCGGGCGTTAGGTTGATACTATGGCTTAATTTTAGATAAAAAAATGATCAGGGTGTGCGCTCAAACCCCCAAATGGAGCTCCTGCAAGATGATAAAAAATATTTTGAAAATGATACAGTAGATGCTTAGGTTAGGTTAAGATGCTTAGGTGGGTAGGTAGGTAAATGAATATTTTGATGAACATTTTAAGTCCCTCCAGTCATTCATTTTTGAGCTGAGTACAATAAAAGAACAAAAACGATTCTGAACAATAAAAATATTTTATAAAATATCCTAGACTAATGAAATATAAATAAAATGTAGGTACTTGTTAATATTGGCTAACTGCTTGTCTTCGCTCGGAATAGTTTTTCGTACCCAAATTGTCCTATGATATGATATCATTGAATTCAAATTGAACACATTCTTTGCAGTGACCTAACACACTCTACAGTGTAGACGATGCACCCATTTTCCCACCTTTTTAAAAAAAAATAGAAGAACACAAATCTAATAAAATATTTTATTTAGTATAATTTAAAAATATTGTAAATCACATTAAGTTACTATACATAACATACCAATTATAATATATAATAATCAAAATTCATAAAAAATATTCCAATCTGCAGTCTAATGCATATTTTATGCCATATAATATTATATTTGTAAATTAATCAATATATTAAATTATTATTGTACTTATAAGAAACACATTTTTTTTGAACTTATCTTATTTTTATAACCAAAATATTGTATAAACAAAGTTATTAGTATAGGTAGGTACTTTTTTGGTAGGTGACCAAAGTTTGGTCTACATTTATATACATATGTATAGGTATATTTAAATATATTTCCTAGTCATATGATTTATACAGATGTTGAATAAGTAGCTACAGCCAAAAAGTCATGGACAAAATATAAACAAAAATTGGCGTTTCTTAATACATAATAAAGAAATAATAATGACTATCGCTTGTATTGTATATTACAATATTATTGAAAGACTATAGGAATAGGTATAACAAGGGTACCATATTTTGTATTAAAATAAAGTCAGGCACCGTAATTTGAGCTCTGATGACTGATTATCTAATACTAAAATTAAATTATCAATGTACCCGGTACCTGGTGCTCCAGATAATGTCCTTAAACAGATTAATATTACAGAAGATATTGCACCTAGTATACCTACCTATTTTATTTTCTTCGGTTCATTATAATTTATAATCATCAATAAAATATGTGAATGCGATTGTGGTAACTAAACAGTAAGCACCACAGTCATAGATAATAATATAATTTATGAACATGCTGTAGATATTATTTAGTCGTGCTAAACATATTGCAGCCTGCAGGTACAAATGCATAAAAACCTGCAATATTGTTTTTGTACCATACGTCTATTTACTCTGTATAGTAATGTACCCCGATTTCAAATCCATAATAATATTTAGCATTCTATACAAACGCTGGTTTGTTGGGTGTTACATAAAATATAATAATATTGTAAAAAAAAAAGTAAAATACAAAATTGGTCATTCGGTTGTTGATCAGTGATCACATATTAAAATATAAGTACGCTTTAAAAAAAATAATCATTTTTTGGCAGTAGAGCGGCCGTTGGTGGCAACCGATTCTGGATCAACCGAAGGAACAGGATTATTCCACGGTTGGAGTTCGCTAGAGCCGATGAAATTGTACAGCAGTCCTGGAATGGCTATTAGCACGCCGCTCAAGGCAAAAAAGTGTTGCCACGATTCGAGCGTGTTCTGAAAAGACGGCGATCAATCAGTATGGATAAGAGCGTAATTAAGAATTTTTGAAAGTATTATAAGATGAAATAGGTAGTACAGGTACTCACGTTGTTGTTCGTGAAATAAGACAGTACAAATGGCGAAATCATTCCCGGGATGACTCCGATAATACCGCTGAATCCTTGGAGCACGCCTAGAACAGGATTAGAAAGATTTGTAGTGTGCAATTTTTTTGTTTTTCAAAAAATTATAAAACGTTCTTACACGGTTCGATTGTACTTGAATACATTATTACGAACTATGCACGGACGAATTATTATAATATAGTGGTGTAATATACGACGATAGATGACTATGGATGACGATCACTCACTGGCGAAATTTGGCGACAAGTCGACCATAATGGACAGCGGTCCGGACGTGGAAGCACCACTGGCCGTCATGGCCAGCAGAAGGAATCCGTTGACCAAAATCGGGTCGCAACCAGAATACACTAGGGCCACGATGAGAACGGCTTGCACCACCGTACAAATGGTGGTCGATATCTTACGCACACAAGTGCGGCTGTATTTTCCGGTGGCCATGAGAGAGTCGATGGCGTACGACAGGGCCAGCGAGAACACAAAACGGGTGAAATGCGGTATTCCGGACAAGAGGCCGATCTGTGGAGAAAAACGGTCGTAGGTATACGATTTATTAAACATCTATATTGTATGAACTTTGAAAAATAAAAACGGTTTCCCGTCCTATTGACTATACCTCTAAAAAAAACCCATTTTGGTAGTATGAGTAGATTTATAATTATATAATACAATATATATAGGTCAACAGGGTTTTCAAAGTGTTTTATACCCTTATTATAACTACACTATGCTCAAGCAAAGATTGATACATGATGATTGTACGATACACAATATAGGTACCTAATATTTGAACAGAACTATTTAAAGTTTTTAAAATAGTTGAATTCACGACTGTAGAGTTGGAGGTGAGTTTTGACTAAATGCTAAAAATGTATGTCCTTTGCGATGTTTTATACATCTTAGTAAAACTGCATTTTCTACTAAGTGTCTAAGTGATAACAAAAACAAATTTCGTAGTAAACTAGATTATATCGACCTGAATCTGTGCTTAAAATCAAAGTGCAAGCAGCATCATTCTCTTTAAATTGTGAGACTTATGAAAAAAATTTAATTAGATATACAATATTAGTATTTAGTATTATATAATGATTATAATGTAATAGCTAATAAATTAATAAGATGGATATTTTTTTTCATAAAAAATGTAGAACTTTATTCAAAGATATTTGTTATTTGTTACTGTTTTAGTGTTTTACCATTCTAATGTTAGATATTTCTATACTACAAGTACCTATTATATTATTTTTGGCAAATAGTCACTTTGCACGGTCCATTGTTAAAAATGCATAACGCAGGCAGTTTGTACGGTCGGATAAAAAGGTAAATTGCAAAATGCGGGTACTTTGTATTATTATATACATAAAGTATATATCATATTATATGCAATATAAACATCTCTGGAAGTTATGACCCGACCATGTTATTAATAACAAATATTTGGTAAATCGAAGTATCTTATATACATTCCAAATATAGGAGGGAATCTTGGGTTATTACCTATCAATAATAATTTATCAATATATATATTTCTCAACCACTTTGGACAATTCAAACTTTTTTATATCTAACCTAATATTGACATTTTTCATAGTTCTGCAGTGGTATGTACTTACGAGACTAAAAATTATACTTAAGCTCAGGTCTCAGCGGCATGTATTGAAAGCGTGGTACGCGTATATAATACAAATTATATATGAAATGGGAAGTTTGAGAAAAGCCAATAAAGATATCAATTATGTGAATTACATAATGTGAATAACGTCGGTAAATAATTATAATGCCTTATTATCATATTTACCTTTTCCGGATTCCACCCGAACATTAGTACCAGATAGGTAGGAGTCTGCGTCATGAGCGTGTGCAGAGCCCATCCGGTACTCCATTGAATGGACAATGCTATCCAAAACGGCACGCACGTCAACACGGCTTTCCACGGTATCGGTAACTGTAAAACGAAAGATTGAATGAAAAAATCCGACCAACCACAAATTAGAGGTTTGAGTTTCATTATTTGAACCAGATATTTTATAACTCTAGTTTTCCAAGTAGATTTTTCTAATTTTGAAAACAAAACAAAAATTTGTTTGTGTGTAATTTGAAATATTTGTATAGAGTTGAAAGTTAGGATGTTACGGGTAAAGCTGCAAAAGGACAAAACTTAAAAGTAAGCTGTAACCTGTAGCCAATACTTATTATTATATAGGTATTCGCTTTTCTCTTCAGGACTTGAATAATAAAACAAATCCATTCATTGTTCGATATTTTTAAGTCAACGTTTTTAGATAAGCACTATGTTGCTTCTTTCAGTTACGATATTTAAAAAATAGTATATAGGCTGTGGTCAAATTAAAAAAAAAAAAAACAAAGATCATACGGTTTAAATTGTCACGGTTCAAATGGTTGGTGTATATATTATTTACAAAAATAACTGTTCATACCTTTGTAGTGGACACCACGTTGGTGAGGCTACTAGTGATGTGCACAAGCTCAACTTCAGATATGTAAGGGTGTTGCGCAGGCGTATCGTACACTAATAACCACCACGCCAAAAACCACACCATTCCGATCACCCCCGTGATATAGAACACGTACGGCCAGCCCCATTTCTCAAGTATGAATCCGCAAAACGGGAACGTAATAGCCACGCCGATCGAACTGCCTTTTAAAGTCAATAAAAGAAAATAGTATAAATTATTGTAGGATAAACCATGGTTGGACGTAAGAAGTGATTGTACCAGCATGATGGTAGCATGGTTAAATAATTAAATAAACTTATTATTGTTGTTGTTGCACTGGGCGTATATCGATTCCATCGATTTAGTATGGATTCTGCCGGCTACTGTTTATATTAATTAGGTGCCTATATTGATTCCACAGTGTTAATTTTTTTTTAATATAAAAAAATTATTTTTTTTTAGAAATTTTCATTTTTTTATTATATACAATTATGTAAAAAAACAACATTGATACTTTTTTAAATATTAATAGTGATTCGTCATTCATAATAATAAAAAAAAAATCATCCTATATTTAATATTTATGGCAACCTATACACAAGACAGAATAATAAATTGCGTATTTTCTCATACCTAGATTTATGTATGTATAAAATTTTTCTAAAAAAAATTACTTTTTACTTTTTACTATAGGTATAATTTTTTAAGCTATTACTATTTGTTTATATTTTAAAAAAACTCAGTGAAATCAATAGGTACTTAATATGAATAGTATCTGACGGAATCAATAGCTTATGGTTTCGATATGTATAATGTAGATATTATAAACAATAGCCAGCTGAATCAATAACTTTAAGTGTTAAATAATTATTAATGCTCAGTGATTTATTTAAAATAAATAGCAATATTAGTTCAGTAATACCTACTAACGTATGATGAATCAGAAAATTTAGATTTTTAGCGGAGTTTTATATTTGTATTTTTGTTGTAGATGTAAAAAAATCAAAATAGATTTCCAGTATAATATAGGTACCTATCGACTTTACTCAAATGTAGGTTGTAAATAAATAATAATAGGTAGTTGTATACTAAAATATACTACTTGAATATTCTGTTACAACTCACTACAACAATAATTTTAATGAAAATAATGATGACGCATGACGCATCTGTAGACTGTAGCTAATACTTTTAAAATATTATAAAACTATAAAATATTAACTGTTGAATCTAAATAACCGTACGAACATAATTATAATTCAACAATTCCCTTAGCCACAAATCACAATTCACAACCATATCAGAAACATTAGAAATTTATGAGTATTATGGGAAGAGACCTTTAATTCCCATCTCATTTAGTTAAAAGCCACTATACCTAAACAAACTTATTAAATATATACTAAAACTATCAAACCTTTATAGCACAGAGCAAATTAAAAAAAGCTTTGGTATTTTTAATTTTGATAAACTACTCGTATTTTAAAAAAAATGTTCTAATTCTAAATACCGAAAAAAAAATCTTATTCATTAGTGTGTACACAGTGTACATGGTCATAATACGAGATACAAAAAAAATATCAATGTAATCAAAACAAAGTGTAGTAAGTCCTTTAAACTTGGAAGTAATTTAAATATAGCTGCAGTTGAGTTGTGCAGGTCTTTAAATATAAACATTAAACAGTATAACAACCTTTGTAACTTTAAAAAAACAATTTCAAAATTGTTATAAAGTTCGATATAGTTCCTAAAGTACTTATTAAGCAAATTAATCTTTAAAAGTAATTAATGTTATTATGAAAATTATGTTTTATATTTGCCATTGTCTCATTGTTATTTTCCTTTCTTTTTTCTCTGCTTTCAAATAACTTTAATGCCAATTGTATGTTTAATCTTAGGTACTCCTTATCTCTAACACAAGCTTTGCTTAAAAGAGATGAGCACAAACACATGTACGAATTCTTTTTTAACTGTATATAGCCAATGTTTGATTTGTTTGCAATAAATAAATATTATAATAATTAATAACAATTGAATATTGCAGTCGTTATACGATAACATATTTTTTTAAACGGTAACGGCGAGCTTAACATAATAAGCGGAGGGGAAAATTAAATATTAATTTTAAATAATGACCAAAATATGCTGTAATGAATTTGCTCCTCTTGTTTGGTGGTACCCAATGTGCGGTTAGATGGTGCACCGACGGCCACGCCATACCCTGTACAAACAATCGACACATGTTGGTTATTAGTATCAAGAAATTACAATGCAATAAATACTAATAGGTACGAACAATAATAATTATTATGTTTATCATTAGACTAATAATACTATCATTATAGAATATAATAGGTATTGAATTATAATATAATGTTTTAAGGGATGTGAACTCCAGACATACAGTCGCAATCGAACAGACTATACAGATACAAATAACGAAGTATTATATTATTTCCGCACAGTTGACCGAAAGCTAAAAAAATTTAATTTATTTTCCCGAATATTTAGTAGGTAGCTTATAAATATTATTATGACCATACTATATTATGTTTAGTATATAATACCTATTTATGTCATAATATAATCCCTAATACATCCCTGAACTGGCTGAACTTATATTATTATCCTTGTAAACAAACAATACTCAAAAAAAGTTAAAGACCGGAACACGGGGAATAATATAGTTGTTAATGATTGTTGGATAGAAGTATTTACGCAGTTCCATATGCAAAGATCATTTGCAAAAAAAAGTGTTCATTTAATTGTAGAGTACATTAATTTATATCTGCTGACTGCCGAGCAGTAACGCCCTAGTCGACACTCAATAGTGTTTTTTCGTATGAATAAGATTGGATTAGTGGAAATGTCATCAGTTGGGACTTTGGGCAAAGGTATTGAAAGCCATTCTCAAGACTAAAATGAGAAAGTCATATCAACGTTATCATTCCTATTTAAAAACCAAACCTGACATTTTACAACTGATTGAAAACTGCATTGAAAAATGTAGAAAACCAGCTCACCAAACTGCTCAAGATTAAATATATTTAAGTTCTCTAGTTTTTAATAATCAAACATTCAACAAGAAATATAATTTCACTTATTTTGAATAATTTGTGTTATTATGATCTACTGCTTTATTTTTCAAAGATAATCACATAATGTGAGTGGAAGAAATAGCGAGTGATAATAATGTGTTCTCAGCATTTCTATATTCGCACTGTTGTCGTTTTACGAGGAAAAATAATAAAAATGTATGTGTTTTTCCTAAATATACAGGTTTGCCGCTCCGAGGGGACAAAATTCGGAACAGGGACCTCCGATGTCAGGCATCACCATATCGCGGCGGCGCGGTACTGCGGGTTGCGCCACTGCAGTCCTAACCGCAAACCGGATACCTGTCCTGTGCGTATTAGATACCACGTCTTGGGTATTAATAGTCGCCTGTGCGGAAATGAGATAAGTGTGGCGCACTTACCCCGACGAACCCTTGTAACATTCGGGCTACGATGAGTCCTTTGATGTCCCACCGTGCGAGTACCGGCATCAACAGGGACATGGCGAACATGAACAAATTGCTGAGGCCAAATATGCGCTTGGCGCCGAATTGTCGGGCGAGCAACCCTCCCGGTAACTGCAACGCCCAGTGCAACCAATAGAACGATCCAAGTACGCTGGCCCGTTCGCGGTCGTTCCACTCGAAGTCGGTCTGAAATAACCCAATAAAATCAAAATGATCGCCTCCTTATACACGCCCGCGGCCGCCGCGTCTCGACGTTTTCGGATTATTACTTTTTTGACGACGACATCATTTCCAACGGTCAAATTTACGCTGTCCGTCAGATTGCCGCACAACAGTACACTCCGACCTCGGCTCTTCGCCGTGGTCATGTCGACTATGGCGATATTGAGATTGATGCGTATCATGTAGTTGCACGCGAACCCGGCAAACACCAGGAACCATAGTGAAACGGTAGCTGCAACGATATAATATTATTTAGGTACGAAATGATAAATTATGATAATGGATTAATAGGTATAGGTACTGTTGATATTTCTCGATTATTGCGATACTGTGCCAATAGTGTTATGTATATATCTGTACGTCATACTTCACGTACACATTATACATTGGCTATTATTGAAATGCATGCCTAATTATTTAATTTGGATAATATAATATACATATACGGTGCTACCTGCATGGCTGCATATAGTAGAATTATATAGTACTTGGTCTATTACTGTCAAGCACAAAATATATTGCAAGTATTCTGAAATTTCAGCGGAAATTATCAACAATATCATATACCTAAGCGATACGCCTATAATAATTGTACAGACACAAAACGATATTCAAAGTGAATTGTCTGATTAAATTTTATATTGTTTCACAAAAGACGTCATATAAAACCCAATATAATATATTATGGTCATTAATCGATATTATTATTTTGCATTAAGCTGTATTAAATCCGAGTTTTCATAGAAGGAAAAAAATATTTAATCCTTCAACTCCAATCCGATTACAATAATAGATATTTAAACGGCATTTCGTAATTAGGGATTAGGACTACGGACAAAATACACAATTAAAACAACTAATAAAAATGACCTTTAAAATGTATATTGACCTATATTTTAATTACAGTCTGAAAAAATATCAAACCGGAAATGTGTTGCTACAATTAACACGTTTTCCCGAGATAAATACATATATTATTTGGAATATGTTTTTAAGTTTGAGCGAATTAATAATTGTTAGGTACTATATTCGTTTAAAATCATCAATATTCAGATAGTCGAAACGATAATAATTCCATACAAACATAATGTATACGCGTATTATACATTAAAATTCGAAACCGAAATGAGTACCTACTTAAAAAAAATCATATGAGATAAAGAACATTACTTTCAGGCTCAACATTGTTACTATTTTCAACGATATATCTATTTTTATAGTAAATATATAACTTGACAAAATGCCCTAATTGAACAATTTTAATCTGGTAAATAATATTTAAGTAGTTAGATTTTTGCCAATACTAGATAATACTAGAATAATAAACTTTCATGTCAAATTATTAGATATCTTTTAGTATAATACATGCACCATGCACCTACGTAAATTGATTTTTAAGATTTTATTGAGCAATCAATGTATGCAAAGTACTTATACTCATGATTATTGAAATTACGTTGTAAAAATTAAAAATTGTGTCATTAATGTACATACATAGATGATGTATTTAATCATGAATCAGTGTTTTATTATAGGTATGGATAATCTTAAATAAAATATACCTTATCACGTTGAAGATATTATTATTGATTTATCAATCAAATCTATACTTATTAATGACGCGTAATTTTTAGTGGTTTCTGGGTAAATACTCGAATGTGGTTCTGAAATATTTTGAATGTCTGCGTTACTGAGTACGTAGTACTCACCGATATTATTATAGACTATAGAGTATCGACTGTAGCAACGGTGTATAGACTACAAAGTATTGACTAATAAAGTAATAAAAATGTTTTATGTTTCCAACCTTCAAAACTACAGACATACGAAATAAACAGCGGAGGATAGACCAAGTGACTATCACATGCAACGAAACAGAAATTTTAAGCGATAACGATAAAGATTAATATAACCACACATTTCCCCCGAGTAAAACATCATTCTCAAATAATATTTTTATTGAAAATTTGAAAAAAATTTAACTTTCTTTAAATTCTTTTTTTACAAAACTATTAAGCTTTTAGTCACTCCTGATAATTTTTATTTTTGTGGGTTACATTCTTTGAACTTTCCACTGTCGAATTAACATTGCATCATAATAATGGGAATAAGTAATAACTACTTGTCAGCTGTCTGGTGTCTACACAATACATTATCTCATTATAAGCTTAGAATTTGTGATTCAAGTTATCGGGTTTTAAATTATCATTTTCCCGATAGAAAAAGTTGAGACTTTGCTATTGTGATTATCCGGGATCTTAATTTATTATTCAGTTAAACAAAGGAAAAATATAAATAAATGCATAAACAAAAATGGTGCGAACATTGTTGTATATACTATATTGAGACTTAAGTATGAAATAATAAAATTAATATGAAAAATATATTCTATACACAGGGTGATTCACCAAGCATGCTCACTCCTTTTTCTTCAATAATGCAGTAATTCAAAATCTGATTTTTTTAATTTTTAAAAATACTTTGAGATTATATTTTTAAATTCTTGAGATTTTTTGTACTACTTAAGGAGTGTCCTGTGTTAATACAAATTTCTGTTTTTCAAATAAGAACACCTTTATTCAATGATAAATTATACAGTAGATAATTTTTCTGAAATATTTGACGCATCAAAATCAAAATTCGTACTAGTAGTTTTTGAGCTATTTAACTTTGTGTTCTAGGGATAAAAGGTCCATAGTAATGAGTTTTTAAGGTATGGGGGCTATGGTGGTTTGAAAATTGTTGTCGTTAATATTAATCTATTGGTATTAACAATTTGTAAAAATAGCCCAAGTTAAGTAAATACTAGATCCAATTTTACGTATATTTTATATTTATGTAAAACCAGTTTGAAGGACTATCATCCTTAATACAATCATTTTAATAATTTTGAAACTACTAATTCGAATTTTAAATATTTTAAGTACTTCAAAAATTAAAAAAAAATTATCTACTAATTAGTTTACACTAAAAGAGGAGGGTTCTCATTTGGAAAACAGACGTTTGTATCACCACAGGACACTCCTTAAATAGTACAAAAAATTAAAGAATTTGAAAATACTGTCTTTGAGTATATTTAAAAATATGAAATTTGATAAAAAAATAAAAATCAGAATTTGAATAAATTCATTATTAAAGAAAAATATAGGGGTAAACATGCTTGGTGAATCACCCTGTGTAATAATGATAGGTAGGACAGGTAGTAATAATATAATATTAAAATGTACAATAGTTTTTTATCAATGTCTTATTATTATTTAATTTTTATAATGATGTTACAATACCAGTTTAATTAAAAGTAATAGTGGGTAATGTTAGCCGTTGAGTACAGTATAGTACAGTATAGAATGTTAAGTACACACTACACAGATACCTTTTTTTATTGCTAAATTTAATTAAGAGCCATATTATACAACTACACTTTTTTGTTTTTTTTTTTATCGATCTTAAGCTTCAACAACTATGGCCATTAGCATACTATATTTTTCATAATACAAATTAGAATATTTGGAATAGAAGTATTAACTTCAAGAGTAATTTATTTACATTTGCTAAATACGTCTTAATAATTTGTGAAATATTTTGAGTAGGTACTACTTATAAAATAATAATACCAAAATATGCATATATATAGACTAATACATCTAGCATATTCAGCTATAATCCATATTTATTTTTATAATAAACATATTCAGATTTGATTTTCAGAATTTTTTATACCTAAAAACCATATCTTCAAATTAATTTTTTTAAACTTTTTTTTTATAATTTTCTATACTTCGACCATTTTTATAAATTATAAACTACTGAAATTATAAATATTAATTAATATTAATACCCATTACCAGGGACTTATAAGACAATAGGTTAAATACCTAACTCAAAAAATTACTCGTTAGAATATACGTTACTTAAATTTTTTCAGAAAAATTATTCATTAAATAATTTACAGTAGAAAAAGGGGGTTGTTGTTTGTTATTTGATAAATAGAAGTTTGTATATCAATAACAGGATACTCATTAAGAGTAAAAAAAATAAAATTGACCAACCACCCACCTACCCTACAAACAATTTATGATAAACATATAAACACAAGTACCGTTAGCATTACGATTAATATTTACAATTGTATTTTAGCAGATTTTTTTCACATTGAGCGCCCACCCACCCCTATACATTAAAAAAAATCGAAAAGCAAATGCTCCTCAAATACAATGGTCGTTCGCCACGGTTTAAGTATAGTTAAAAATAATATAATGGAATATAATTCCATAATATCATAATAATTCATCATAATTCCATAATAATATAATTGGAATATAATTTCAAAAATTAAATTTTCAATAACTGCATTATTGAAGAAAAAATATGAGATGAACATACTTACGAGTTATGAATCACCCTTCATATATAATATGAGTATAATACACAACTACACAAGTTTATTGAAACTTTAGTCTTTAGAAACATCTTAAACAATTTGTGTATTGCATTGTTCAGTATACAAATAATAACTTTATAGGTCGTACCAACTGTTACTAAGCTTCCAAAAACTACAGTAGTAAGTATACTGTGAACATTAAAATATAATATATATAGAATATAATTAATAATTTGTTATTAAATATTCAAAAATAATCGATTCATTCTTTTAATGTTTCTTTTTAAATAGACTGTATTGATACAGTTTTGTTACTGACAAAAAAAAATGATTTGTATAATATTGTTTTAATATGGACAGCTATATTATTTTTATTAAAATGTATTAAAATATTTATTATTGCATTTACGTACAGTTTTCTTATCAAATTTAAAATATATAAATAATGAATTTGAAAATTATTTTATTTCATAATGTAGGTACGTATTAATTGTTATAAAAAACAATAAATATTAAATACCTACCAACAATATTGTGTCATAGGAGAACTACTTAGTAAAAAAACAACAATAAAAGGATATGTTTAAACAAATAATTTATATAAATAGGTAGGTATCAAGAAAATAACTTTAAATCGAAATAGTTTTTATATGATATATACATTTATCAAGAAATTATAGTATTGACTATTGACAATAAATTGACGTTTTTGTGGGTGCATTAAAAAATACATAATTTTAATCTCACACGCCTAGTTTATCGCAAAAAAATATTTCATAATAATCTTTAAAATATGTGGACTAGTTATCAGTTATCAGTAATCACTTATAAGTTGTCATAAACATTGTACG